AGCGCTGAGCTGTGCAGATAAAAGCATCATTATCCAGTGTGATGAATGTGATTTCCGCAGTGTACAGTAATGAACAGACCATGAGCTGTTGAGGGAGAATGAAGGAAACTCTTATTCCAGAGGGAGACACACCACACCACACACACGGTGTCCTTAACTCACACTGCTCTGAAAACAACCCAATAATGCGCAGGAGCGTTGAGGAAACCATTGTGGAAACAGTCATTATTATATAGTATATGCACTTTCATGTATTTACTTTTAAGTTCCAGCAGTGAAGTAACACATACTGTAGCCTTTACCTGGTGAAACTGCGTGATAGGAAAGTGTTATGTGATTTTATATTCACATATTTGAAATATCTCTTTAATAATGTAATTTCAAAAAAGTATTGTTTACAAATTCTAAATAGTGAAATCATATTAGCAGCCAATGACTATCAAAGCACAACCTTACTCACAGTCAGTTAAATAGTGCTAATGTTGTTTTGAGGTCATACTTACGTGCTATATGGGTATACGTGGAGCTAGTGTTTCTTCCCATACTGATGAACTTCCTGTGAAGGTGACTTGAATATTAATCAATAATACGCTGCTGTGTTGTCAGCCAATCGTTGCATTGCTGATCATGATTTCGAGGATTGATAGATCTGTCCATCACAACACACAGAGATCTCAGATCAGTTTCTCCTGACATTTGAATCTGATTCGCAAACTTGTTTGAAGAATCAAATTAGCCAGAGATCAGTTCACAGGATGAACAGATCCAGGATCTGCAAAATCATCTTAGATCATGTAAGTGAGGTACGAAGAACAGACGCCTGTTTTTTTCGTATCATGCTTTGTTGCAGTGTTTTGAAACACTTGTGCTTCGGGATCTCGACACTGTGTCGAAACGTAAGTTTCCATCCCTAATATCCGATATAAAGCGGGTCTCAGATTGTACAAGAAGCACTACAATAAGTTACATTTTTCCTTGCCATGTCTTTCAAAACAGAGGTAAAGTTGGTTTTATATTTGGATATTCAGACATTCTCCTGTTTACAGTCAAATGTTTACAGTCAATTAGATTTTGCTAATGTTGTTTTGAAGTCATACTTGCATGCTAATTCTGACCGAATATTCAAATTAGCATGGTAAACAATATAGAGACAGTTAAAAGATTGAATGTACGAATATAAAACAAACTTTACCTCAAAGCCTCTCATGCAAGTATTGCTGGTTCGATCCCTGCTCGGAACGAGTGGGTGAGTGAAAGACCAGTTGGAATACGATAAATGTAAATAGTTTTGAATATGTTGGATTTTACTACAGTCATTGGTGGTGTAATGCAACATACCATATGTGTTAATAAAACACTATAATTGAGTAATTTGTTTATATTACTGTTGTTGTATTACTACAAGAATGAGTTGGTCAGTTGTGAACGTTTGACATTTTTGCAACACAGTGCTTTCCCACACTTTAACCAGCAGAGGTCCTCATCGAGCTCTGATTTAGAAAGCTTTGAGTAACAAACCTTTTCCAGATACATTTGAGGTGAACGCTGGTTCAGAAAGCTTCATTTCACCATCACTAGGGAGCATGTCACAAATTGTCATTGAAAAAATATGTGGATATTAAACAAACTTTACCTCAATTGATTTCAGACCCAATATTCAAAGTAGCATGGTAAACAACATAGATAGGATGTCACAAGTTGTCACTGAATGTGGGATGTAAAACCAACCCTACCTAAATCTGAGGTTGTAATAAAATAAAGATAAAAGATTAAAAAACCCAAAGATAATCTCCTCACGCTACAATGATAAGTTGAAACAAACAAAACTCAAAACACCAACATGCACCTGTCGCAGCACTATTGACATATAGCAGATGTCTTACTTTGATCTGATAAGGTGCTTCATAGTTTCCGTGAGGACAGAATCCAGCACACAGTTTGAAGAGACTTTTCATGGTTGTACATGTCTAAGAGATCAGTGTTTTGATCTCATCATCTGTGCTGCAGCATGACAGCCCCTGCAGCATTACTACAGCTGGGAAACCCTGTGTGACATACACCTGTCAGTCACTGATCACATGACCCTTCTGGGGCGGTGTCTAGAGTTTGGGTCTGGGTCTGTATCTATCAAGCTTCTCACAGTGACAGATAAGTCCTAAAGAAGTTGACTAAAAATTAAAATTCGGTCATTATTTGCTCATTTTTTTTAAAGTAAGTTTGAATTTCAGGATTTTTTTATGGTTAAAGGGATAGTTTACCCTAGATCTGCTCACTATTTACTCACCTGTCACTTGTTTCAGAATTTTAGGAGTTTCTCTCTTCTGTTGAACACAAATAAAGATATTTTGATAAAAGCCAAAAAACCCGTAACCATTGACCTTTCCTTAAAATATTTTCTTTTGTGTTCAACAGAATAAAAAAATAAATAATAAAAGGGTTGTAACCACTTGAGTGAGAATAAATAGTGAGCAAATGTTTCATTTTGGTGTGAACAATTCGTCTAAGATCTGGTAATTCACCCCTACTTTAAAATTGAAGTTTAAAAGCAATTTTCTTAAAGGGATAGTTCACCTTAAACTGCAAATTCTGTCATCATTTACTGACCCCTCACTTGTTTTAAATCTTTATTAAGTATCCACCTTCCGTTGAGCATACAAGTTGCTATTCAGAAAAATGCTGAAAACATGTAACCATTGGCTTCCTGAAAAAAGTGTTGCATGCAGAACTGTTGCAAACAATTTATTTGTGTTGAATTTAAACAAACAAATTATATTTAATAATGCTCAACCTAATTCGTTTGTTTAAATTCAACACAAATAGATTGTTTAAAACAACCTAACGTAAAAAAAAAAAAAAAAATGAGTAAATCCAAGGAATCATCTTTGAATAATTATTTTCAAATGGAAGTCAATGGTTACAGGTTTCAACTTCCTTTTGAAATATCTACTTTTGTGTTAAACAGAATCAATAATAATAATTATAGTAATAATATTAACTTAATATTACAGTGATTTCCGAAGGATCATGCGAGTCTAAAGACTGGAGTAATGAAGCTGAAAATTCATTTTTAAAATCACTGGAATAAATGATTAAATTAAATGAAAAAGTTCTTTTAAACAGTTATTTTATAGTTCAATGACATTTCACAATTTTACAATGTGTGCTTTATTTATAATGAAAAAAGTAAGCCTTGGTGAGCAGAAGCTAATTTTTTAAAACATTTAACAATCATACTGACCCTAAACTTTTGACCAGTTGTGTATATAATAATCTATAAGCGAAAACGACGCCCAAAGACATCGCAACCAAATATAAATCAGAGAGGTCAGACTTTCTCATACAGAGCCTCATTTCAGTTGTAAAGTTTTGTTAAAATCTATCAACTGAATTAATCAATCTATTAAAGAAACGTTGGCTAGCAATGCATAATAGGCCCAAATTATAAAGAGAAATGAGATCATGAAGCAGATCCAGGCCTGGATTGGCCAATTTGAAGGACCGGGAGAGTTCCCGGTGGGCCGGTCCGTTTTTTGGCCGCGAGGGCCGGTGTTTCTAGCTGCTTGCACTCTCAGCAGTCGCATTTTTTTTTCCATTTATTATTTATTTGACCATAGCCTCACTCTTTTTATTCATTATTTTGCCGCAGCTCCGCTCTTCTTATTTATTGTCTTGCAGCCCCATGAGCAAAATGCAGCCTGCAGGGTAATGATGATGTAACTATCATTCCGGCCACACAAGTGTAACAGCGCCATTGTGGTCCAGTGGTCAGCATGTTGCCTTACGACGTTGTCAATCCATGTTCGATCCTCACCTGAGTAAATCTATTTTTTTTTTTTTTCATTTTTATTGTTAAGACATATAAAACTGTAAGGTTGTTGAACATTTAAAGTTCTAAAGCAGCTGTTTTCTTGAAAAAGAAGTGATAGTGTAATTAGAAACTAAATTGGAAATTTACTTATTTTAAAATAGGGACATTATTTTAATATAGTCAGTCGTGAACTGAAGTGGGCTGGTCTAATGCTTGAAACTCCAGGGCTGAAAAGGAGTCTCACTCCGGCCCTGAGCAGATCAATGTTCATCTTTCTTTCGAGCTGTCAGTGCAGAAATGAACAAAACAATAGGCCTAATACAACGTATTATAAGATTAAAATATGGAACAATTATCAGATGGTAACTTTTCATCAATTTTCCTAACGGATAAACCAGCCTGATCTCACGAGAAAACGTAAGTATTTTACGTTTTGCCAGTTTAGTGGCTAATTCGTACGAATTCGTACGAGTTCAGTCGTACGAAATTGTACGAATTTTAAAAAGGAGGCGTGGCACCTAACCCCACCCCTAAACCCAACAGTCATTGGGTGATGAGCAAATCGTACTAAATTGTACGAATTAGATCGTACAAATTCATACGAATTAGCCACTAAATCCAAAAGTTACGAATTGCCGTGAGATTGTGTTGGATAAACAGATGGTAATATTTCAGCATGTCGTATTAGAGATTAAACGCACATTTACCGGTATGACATTTTGTCACTTTCTCTCTTCATATAGCCGTATATGTGGCTATTACACAATCATAATACACTGTGATATAGCCTGGGTTGTTAGTTCGTTGCATTGTTTTGTTTTCTCACTACAATCGATCCGCTCAATCGAGCAGAGACCACCACATTCGGGCGATCTCAAACCGATTGATTTGGTGCGGATCCGAGCGCGATTGCTGGATTTACATATGCCAAACATATAATGGGGAAACGAGACAGATTCGGAGACAAACATCTATTTATGAAAGCACCCTAAGATTGTATTTGCACGCAATTGACAGACAGTCGCAGCTAAATTTTTGTGACAAGGCAACAACCATTCTGTACACTGGCCCGAGCGTCTCGTCCGCTGGCCCTGGGCTATTGTCAAGCCCTGTACAGTGAACCGAAGTGAGTATAGAAAAGAGAGTAACTCTAGAGGTTAAAGGTCTACCATTTACGTGTGTATATTCATACCTTGTCACTGTCTACAGTGTTCTGAGAGGTTCTGGATGCTATGGAGATGGTGTCCGGCTGACTGCTGCCGTCTCCCTGGCTGTCAGCATCCTCACCAGCGTCCCTGCAAGCATAAACGCACATCAACCTCAATATTAGACAGAATATTTCAGATTGATCCAATATGTGTCAAGTACTCCAGACAGCCCGCATATCTATAGTGGCTCCCTGATGCTTGTAAATTAAATACAATATTCCAGAAATTATGGAGGGAACGAGCGAGAGAATATCACGTGTAGTAATGAAGTAAGCTTTAAATGACACAAATAGCACAGTACAGTGTAAATCTGTGATTGGTTGGGTTGGTAGCGCTGACAAGTCTGGGCGGGACCGAGAGCCGCGCAAATGGAGCGACCCAGATGGAGCGATTGTTTACAAGTGTGAAGTCCTGTGAAGAAGCTCCGGATGAAAAGTTTTGTTTTGTGTCTACCTCATAGTTAAAGTTGTTGCACGTCCGCCGGTTCCTGCCTCAAAATGAGCGAATTTGAGCCACTTGTACGTTCAGGAAGTGTTCAGGAAAAGCAAAACAGCAGCGAAGAAACTCGACACAGAGGAACATTTACACCTCACTGCCAAGTAGCGTTTCGGAAGTGTTCATGCAGACCAACAGAGACAGCGCGCAGAAGTATAAATGCACAGCTACGTGCGTTGCATGCGCCGTGGGTTACGCCGGTCACTTGACGCAGAAGTATAAACCAGGGTTAAGTGTTTCTGACCTCTTGCTGTTATTGCGAGGTTTGGCTGGAGTTTTGGGAATGTGGATAGGTTCCTTTAGCGCCCCCTTCAGGTGAATTATTCTCTCCTGAATGACCTCTCGGATGTTTTTAATCCATTCTTGCTTCACCTCAATACTAGATGCCTGAAACACACAGACATAATGCACATATAAAGCAGAAGATTCATGTTTGATTTCCTCAGTACATTTGATACAACTGTTATAAGCAGAAAGAAAGAACCCGGGTCCGTGTGTATACCACTGTGTCCTAACAAAATGTGAAGTTATGCCGTGACATGCCACCTTTTCATGTTAAAAGGTGTTTCTGTGCTAACCATCCGTTACAGCGACATGAAAAATTTATATTTTAGAAATGGATTGACCTCTGATTTAGCCAATAGCGAGTCTGAAAGGGTGAAGTCACTGCAGCACAAAAGCTTTCATTCATTGTTTAAACTGTTTTCTGTTTTCATTCATCCGTTCAAATTGAGGACCCATTCTTGATGTTGGAGGCTGTTTTAGCCCCATTGACTTCCATTATAACCACTTTCATTTTGATCGCAAAGCCATGACACCAAATAAGCCTGCATTCTCGATTGTTGGCATTATTTTTTTTTCTTTTTTTTTTATTGTGTTTTTGACAAAAGGTACTGTACATTAAAGGTATTCAATGACAAAGGTATTTTCGTTTTTTTTTTTTTTTTTGAACCATACATAAATTTGAAAAAGAGACAAATTAACATAATAAAATTTTTCATGAAAAGGAAATGCAATAAATTAAAAAATATATTAATAAAAATAAAAATGAAAATCAAATAAAAATAAATTTACAAAAAAATAAATAAATAAATAAAAAATAAAATAAATAAAATAAATGATTGTTGGCATTCTTGATTACAAATTGTACCTCTTTCCAACAGGGAAAACCACACAACAACAATCAATAATGCATGGTTATAGGGTGCCATGGCTTTGCAATCAAAAAATGTGGTAATAATGGAAGTCAATAGTAAATTTACCCAGAGAGAGTTTTGTTGAGTTTTGAAAAATTCCACAAATCATTTTCCCAAAATAAGATTTGTCACCAAAAAGCATTCCATTTGCTGACACACAGAAAAAGTTGTGGTCAAATTAAGCCTCAAAATCACCCCAGAGTGGATGAAAACCTCCCCAGCAGCACACAAAAGTTTATTTATCAGCATTATGTGCAAAGATGTTACAAATAAGTGAATGTTCATTCATTCATTTTCCTTCAGCTTAGTCTCTTATTTATCAGGGGTCGATGTAGCTGATGACCTTCCAGCCGCAACCCAGTACAGGTATAAGTGAATGTATTTACATTAAACGTAATAAAGCACAGAGTATATTGTACCTTGAGGACAGTCTTGTTGTCAGACGATGGTGTGCGTCCCACCCACAGAGCAAATTTGCACGGGTCCCCCTCTACATGCTCTGTCACCCCCAATTCAGAAGTCTGTAAATCAGAGAAAATCAACACAAAAACATTGACATGGATTCAAGACTGATATGGAAAAGGAGTTTAAAGGAATGAAGTGAAAAAACCTGACGTAACTTTAATACATTTGATCAAACTAAAAACTTTTCCTCTGTACAGTCGTAAATTGTGTTTATAAGACAATTCTAAAAGCCATAAGAGGAGAAAACCAAAGGCATATGTGAAACATATGGTATGATATATTTGTTAAGGACAAACAGATGGGGGATGTGTTCACCTGCAGTTTTCATTTAATTTCTAACAACATTTCATTAGAAGTCTAATAATGAAAAAGCTGTGCATTATACAGCTATACTTTAAATATGTGTATGACAGCATGATAACAACAGGTATTAAGAATTATGAATTAAACAATTTCATCTGGTAACCCATGTGTGCCCTTTTTAAACCCTTTTTTCTACATAATTTCATGCATAGTGTCCTATGTCAACATGTTTTTCTCCCTGGTTTTATTTTTTTTCTCTAGAAAATCACATTTAAATATGCAACAACTGTAACATCAACTATGTTAAAATTGTACCATATATACAAAAAAAAAATATATATATATATGTATATGTGTATGTGTATGTGTATGTGTATATATATATATATATATGCATTGATAGTGTGTGTGTGTGTGTGTGAGAGATTTCACAATTACCAGTAGTTTGTTTTTAAAGATGTATTTGGATCGCCCTGCTGAGTCTTTGATCTCTTTACTGAAGACCAGGGAGATCTCGAAGAGAAAGAGGTGGCGGTCTCGCCCCTTCCGGATTAGTGATTTGGGGTCCCACACCTGGAAGGTGTCTTGGAGGATGAGTTCACCCTGAACATCCAAATTTGCATCAAAACCTGATGTGGGGCACAAAACAGAAAACATCACGCCAGAGGTCATAGGCTTAACGCTATTATGAAAAACAACCCATGAATCCCAACAACCCTGAAAAAGAATGAGACGCTGCATGATAAAGAGTAATGCTACGGGAAAAAAAACAGGGCAAAACCTAGTGGCAAAAAAAACTGAAGAAATAAACTTGTTCATTAACACAGTGACATTGAATAGAGATGGCTGCTTTCACAACACTCCTAGCAGGCATAGGATGCCAACATGACATAATGGGGACGTTGCATTCATTCATTCATTCATTTTCTTGTCGGCTTAGTACCTTTATTAATCCGGGGTCGCCACAGCGGAATGAACCACCTTATCTTAACTTATCCAGCAAGTTTTTACGCATCGGATGCCCTTCCAGCCGCAACCCATCTCTGGGAAACATCCACACACACGTTCACACACACACTACGGACAATTTAGCCTACCCAATTCACCGCATGTCTTTGGACTGTGGGGGAAACCGAAGCACACGGAGGAAACCCACGCGAAGGCAGGGAGAACATGCAAACTCCACACAGAAACGCCAACTGAGCCGAGGTTCGAACCAGCAACCTTCTTGCTGTGAGGCGACAGCACTACCTACTCCGCCACTGCCTCGCCCGGTGGACGTTGCATTTTGTTTGCAAATGAAAATCGGCTTGACATCAAAACCCAACGTCAGGCCAACGTCAATGTCCAACGTCCAACCTAAAACCAACCAAATATCAGCATCTAATGATGTTGACATTGTGTGGATGTTACCACTATGACGTCTATCAGACGTTGGATTTTGATTGCCAGAATTTGACGCAAATATGACGTTAATTTAAAATGTAAGCTCGACATTGGATTTTGGTCACATTCCAACACAACCTAAAATCAACCAAATATCAACGTCATTTGACATCGTTATTGGACGTCAAAATTACGTTGTCCTTAGACAATGTCCTGGCAAGACATTGAAATTTGGTCACCTGACGTCACAACTTAAATCTAACCGGATAGCAACGTCTTATGATGTTGTGAGCCAGGCACGGTTCACTTGGTCGGCCCTGGCCCGGTTGGAAGAGATGTGTCTGAGGTGTGGCTTTGGTGCGATACGCTTGTGTGTGAGTGCACAACGCGCCTAAGCCTGAAACTGAAAGCGAGACGTGACTTTTAAGGGACTGTTTAATATGAATTCCCCTTCGGTTGGGGAACTTCAGTGCCATGAATGGGAGGATTCGGATCAGAAGCCGCTTATCTGGAGAGTATTGAACGGGCCAATGAATGAAATTAATTGGCAGCGTAAGCTTGCGCAGGTGTGCGACATCTGCAATTATCTCAGCATATAAGCACACCTGAAGCCAGCAGACGCCATCCTTTTCGCTTCAGATCCTTTCTGAGTGAGTCGATGAGGGTTCCTCTTGCTGATCAGCACTTCAGAGCGAACGAGTGTGTCTCCCGGTCCAGAGTGGGTCTTCGCGGTGGCAGACGGTCGAGCTGGGTTACTCCCTTGCCTGCGGTTCTTTGGGTCCGGTCCTCCAGAGCGGTGCGTATAGTTGCAACTTTCCTAAAAGAGCAACACAGTCGTGCAGCACGTCCTTTTCAGGATGGCGCTCCGACTGTGCGTTTCTGGATGCGGGGGTTTCCTGTCTCCGGATGATGGACACGATCACTGCATTGCATGTTTGGGGGTCCAGCATGTTAATGCGGTGCTCGCGGGCGGTTCATGTCGTCATTGCGATGCCATGACCGTTGCACAGCTAAGATCGCGGCTAACTTTCGCAAGAGAGCGAGCCACCCCAGTTGCCTCCTGTTCTAAAAAAGCAGCGGGCGCTCGGGCAGATCTGAGGGTTTCAGCGGGAGCTAATCCGCCGCCCACGGGCTCGCGGACCTCTCGCTCCTCACGGCGCTCCATCCAAGCTTCGGGTGGTGAGAGTGATCCGTCTAACCAGATGGTAGCTCTCACACTCGCTGACACCGGAGATCAGATGTCCTCCGCGGCATCGGAGGGTGGGCTTTCACTGTCCGACGAAGATCCGGACCCGCTCGCCCCCTCCGGGCAGGTGAGCGCTGTCAAATCGGATCCTGAAGCGGACATGTTAGCCGTGCTTTCCCGGGCTGCTTCGGCCGTGGGGTTGGAGATGGTTTATCCCCCAGCTCCGCGGCCGGACCGACTAGATGGGTGCTACGTAGAGGACCAGAAGGCGAAGCCTTCGAAGCCTCTCGTCCCCTTCTTCCCGGAAGTGCACAGTAGGCTCACGCAGTCCTGGAGGGCACCTTTCTCTGCCCGTGCTGCGAGTGCCTCCGCCCTCACCGCCCTTGACGGCGGAGCTGCCAGGGGGTATGAGGCGATCCCGTCAGTGGAGCGCGCTATCGCGGTCAATCTTTGTCCGCGCGGCGCCTCTACGTGGCGGGGTTTGCCCCGCCTCCCGTCCAAAGCCTGTAGGTTGTCTGCCTCCCTCGGAGCCAGAGCTTATAAGGCTGCGGGCCAGGCTGCTTCTGCTTTGCACGCGATGGCCACCTACCAGCGCTACCAAGCGCAGGCGCTGGCCGAGCTGCACGAGGGCGGGTCCAACCCAAGCTTATTACATGAGCTGCGCACCGCGACCGACTATGCTCTTCGGACTACTAAGTCCGCCGCGTGTGCGCTGGGGAGGACGATGTCCACACTTGTGGTTCAGGAACGCCACCTCTGGCTAAACCTGGCCGATATGCGCGACGTTGACAAAGTTCGCTTTCTTGACTCGCCCATATCCCAGGCTGGCCTGTTCGGCTACACCGTCGGTGAATTCACCCAGGAATTCAAGGCGGTGAAAGAGCAGTCGGATGCGATGGGCAATGTCATCTATCAGCGTGGCCGTAAGCCCGCTCCGCCCGCCGAGCCATCCACCTCCGCTGTTCCTCGCCGAGGGCGCCCGCCAACGAGTGCTGCCCCGCCCCCGCCTGCGCCTCCGGCCAAGCGGGCGCGGCGTTCACCTCGAAAGCAGGCAGCCTCTCCTGCCCAGGGCGCCGTTAAGTCCGGTAAACGGACCGCGAAGCGTCCCTGAGACAGGCCATCCGGAGAAGAGGAAACTTGCTCTTTCCCCGCTGGAGGGCAGGGCCCCGATAACAACGGTACTTTTCAGTGCCACCAAAACATCAGTAAAAGAGCACTTTTTCCCTTCCCCGGATGTGACTGCACGAGTTCTGCCAGTCCGGGACGCGCTGCCTTCCGGCTCGCAGACTCTACGTGCTTCGCCAGTGGCTCACGAGCGCTGGGGGGACGGTCTCCCTTCCCTCAGCCCTCCAGCCCCCTCTCCGGAGTCAGGGTGCGGAGCCAGAGCGAATCGCTCTCCTCCAGCTTTTCCGCGGGACCCTCGTGCTTCCCGGATCAGCACACCCACTCCGCGCTGCCCCACCGCTGGTACGTCAGCGATTGTAGCGATGACTCCATTAGCGAGGGCTCTGCCTGCCTGGTTAGCGCGGTCCAGCCCCTCGCGGTGGCTCATACGCACAATCAGACTCGGTTACGCGATTCAGTTCGCGAAACGGCCCCCCAAGTTACGGGCGTGTATTTCTCCAGGGTCAACCCCCTGTCCGCCCCTGTCTTGCGAGAGGAGATTGCTGCCCTCCTGGCGAAGGGTGCAATCGAGCCGGTTCCTCCAGCCGAGATGGAGAGTGGGTTTTACAGCCCATACTTCATCGTACCCAAAAAGAGCGGTGGGTCACGGCCAATCCTAGATCTGCGCGTTTTGAACCGCTGTCTGCACAAGCTGCCGTTCAGAATGCTCACGCAGAGGCGCATTCTCCAATGCGTTCGTCCTCGGGATTGGTTTGCAGCCATAGACCTGAAGGACGCGTATTTCCATGTCTCCATTCGTCCACGCCACCGCCAATTTCTGCGGTTTGCGTTCGAGGGTCGAGCGTGGCAGTACAAGGTCCTCCCCTTCGGGCTCTCTCTGTCTCCGCGGGTCTTCACCAAACTCGCGGAGGGTGCCCTAGCGCCCCTTCGGCTCGCGGGCATTCGCATACTCGGTTATCTCGACGACTGGCTGATTTTAGCCCACTCGCGGGAGCAATTGATTATGCACAGGGACGAGGTGCTTCGGCATCTCCGCCTACTGGGGCTTCAGGTCAACCGAGAAAAGAGCAAACTCGCCCCCGTGCAGAGGATTTCTTTTCTCGGGATGGAGCTGGACTCGATCACCATGGTAGCGCACCTCTCCGAGGAACGCGCTCGCCTGTTGCTGAACTGTCTGAGGGAGCTCGACAGCAAACTAGTGGTCCCACTGAAGTTCTTTCAGAGGCTCCTGGGGCATATGGCATCCGCAGCCGCCGTCACGCCGCTCGGGTTGCTCCATATGAGACCACTTCAGCACTGGCTTCACGATCGGGTCCCCAGACGCGCATGGCACGCGGGCACACACCGGGTCTCGGTTACTGCGCTGTGTCGCCGCGCCCTCAGCCCTTGGAACGACCCCTCGTTCCTACAGGCCGGTGTGCCTCTAGGACAGGCGTCCAGCCATGTTGTTGTTTCAACAGACGCTTCCAACACGGGTTGGGGGGCCGTGTGTCGCGGGCATGCGGCTGCGGGCCTCTGGAAGGGTGCCCAGCTGCATTGGCATATCAATCGCCTAGAGCTGTTGGCAGTGTTCCTCGCTCTCCACCGCTTTTTACCGGTGCTGGAGCGGCAACACGTGCTGGTCAGGACGGACAGTACGGCGGCGGCGGCGTATATCAACCGCATGGGGGGTATGCGCTCTCGCCGCATGTCTCAGCTCGCCCGCCGTCTGCTCCTCTGGAGTCACCCGCGGCTGAAATCGCTGCGCGCCATTCACGTCCCAGGCACGCTCAATCGTGCAGCCGATGCGCTCTCACGACAGCTGTTACGCCCTGGAGAATGGAGACTCCACCCCGAGTCTGTTCAGCTGATATGGGCGCGATTCGGGGAGGCCCAGATCGATCTGTTTGCTTCCCCCGAGAACGCTCACTGCCAGTTGTTTTTTTCCCTGACCGAGGGCTCTCTCGGCACGGATGCACTGGCCCACAGCTGGCCTCGGGGCATGCGCAAGTATGCGTTTCCCCCAGTGAGCCTGCTCGCGCAGTTTCTGTGCAAGGTCAGGGAGGACGAGGAACAGGTTCTGCTAGTTGCGCCCCTTTGGCCCAACCGGACCTGGATATCAGAGCTCTCACTCCTCGCGACGGCCCTCCCCTGGCGGATCCCTTTGAGAGAGGACCTACTCTCTCAGGGACAGGGCACCATCTGGCACCCTCGCCCCGATCTTTGGAACCTCCACGTCTGGTCCCTAGACGCGAGGAAGACTTAGGTAACCTACCGACTGCGGTGGTTAATACCATCACTCAGGCTAGAGCCCCCTCCACGAGGCGCGCCTACGCCCTGAAGTGGAGTCTATTCACTGAATGGTGCGTCTCTCGCAGAGAAGACCCCCGAAATTGCCAGATTAGTGTTGTGCTCTCTTTCCTTCAAGAGAAGTTGGACAGCAGGCTGTCGCCCTCCACTCTCAAGGTTTACGTGGCCGCCATCTCCGCTTATCATAGCGCGGTAGCTGGCGGCACCGTGGGAAAGCATAACCTGGTCATCCAGTTCCTTAGGGGTGCTAGGCGAATTAATCCATCTCGCCCCCCTCTCATGCCCTCTTGGGATCTCGCCCTCGTTCTCACGAGTCTGCGATCCGATCCCTTTGAGCCACTCGAATCAGTATCTCTAAGATTTCTGTCCCTGAAGACAGCTCTGCTGGTTGCGTTGGCCTCCATCAAGAGGGTCAGGGACCTGGAGGCATTTTCGGTCAGTGACTCGTGCCTGGAATTCGGGCCGGATTACTCTCACGTTATCCTGAGACCCCGCCCCGGTTATGTGCCCAAGGTTCCTACCACCCCCTTTAGAGATCAGGTAGTGAACCTGCAAGCGCTGCCCCCGGAGGAGGCAGACCCAGCCCTTTCTTTACTTTGTCCAGTTCGCGCTCTGCGCATTTATGTGGACCGTACTCAGAATTTTAGATCATCTGAGCAGCTCTTTGTCTGTTATGGCGGTCGGCAGCAGGGAAGTGCCGTATCGAAACAAAGATTATCCCACTGGATTGTGGATGCCATTTCACTCGCTTATTCGAGTCGAGGTCAGCCGTGTCCCCCGGGAGTACGTGCACACTCCACTCGGAGCGTTGCATCCTCTTGGGCGCGTGCACGCGGCGCCTCTCTAACAGACATCTGTAGAGCTGCGGGCTGGGCGACACCCAACACATTTGCAAGGTTTTACAATCTGCGAGTGGAGCCGGTTTCCTCAAGGGTATTAGGTAACCCTTTGGTGATTGAGGAGACAACTCGGTAGGGTGTTGAAACACGCTTGCTGCGCCATTCTCCCTAACACGGAGGTACGTGCGCCTTTTTTATCTGTCAGTAAAGTTCCCCGTCAGGTGAGCCCTGCAGATTCCTCCGTGGCCCCCAGCACTGACTCAGCGGAGGAGTCACTTGCTGGCCCACTACGTTGTAGGTCTGCCCGCTGGTCAGCCCGCGTTTTGGATATAGGTGCCTGCTATGCGTGATCCCCACTAGGCGATCCCATATGCTTATTCCGCCACGGTTAAGTCCCCCCCCTGGGCGGACCCGTGTCTTCCCTCTCCGCTAACCACTCTTTGCTATGCGTACTCCCCCTTTTTAGGGCTAGTCCATAGGTAAATTCTGCCATCTATCCCCCCCTTGGGTAACGGATGGCCTCCGCAGCGTCCTCCCTATCGGGATTGCACGCTTCCCAACGTACTGTCGTATTTCCTAGAATTATCTAGATGCTCACGACTTCCCAAAAAATATATCTAAATCCGTAAAACTTCTGTTGAAGTAGGATAAATTAGGGCCAGGGACACGTTGGAGGACCGCGCCCCCCATGATGTGGGTGCGTCACGCTTGCTTGACTATCTCCTCATCGGGGGTGTTGGTAAGGTGCAGTCATTATGGCGCTTTCCATATTCTCCCATTCATGGCACTGAAGTTCCCCAACCGAAGGGGAACGTTCGAGGTTACAGAAGTAACCCTTCGTTCCCCGAGGAGGGGAACGGAAGTGCCATATTCCGTCGCCATAATGACTGTCCCTTAGCTGTTTGAAAGTCTCTTCAGCTTAAAAGGATGGCGTCTGCTGGCTTCAGGTGTGCTTATATGCTGAGATAATTGCAGATGTCGCACACCTGCGCAAGCTTACGCTGCCAATTAATTTCATTCATTGGCCCGTTCAATACTCTCCAGATAAGCGGCTTCTGATCCGAATCCTCCCATTCATGGCACTTCCGTTCCCCTCCTCGGGGAACGAAGGGTTACTTCTGTAACCTCGAACGTTATTCAATCGTTCTTACTGTTCAGTGAAGGCAAACTGTCGTAGTTTATTAAAGACGCAAACCCCTCACTGCATGACAGATGCACCTTCAGCAAACCTCCTAACTCCTGCAGCACGAGGACTTTATGAGCGTCAAAAGTGGCTGATCTGTTCGGCGAAATATTTGAAAGTGTGTCACTGCATCTCAAACGACTAAAACAATATAATTAAAGAAATCTCCAGTGCTGAGCAAAAGCGCTTACTGAACAGCGCAGCGTCGATGACGTAAGCGTGTCCAGGGCCGAATGTAATGTGAGTGCGGGCCGTCGGGGGAGACGGGAGGGGGAACAATCATGCTTTAGCCCGGTTCAAGGCAACTGTACATAGTGTGAGTACGACCTAAGCCGAAGGAAAATGAAAACTCAATCCAGCAACCTTTTTGCTGTGAGGCGACAGTGTTAACCACTGAGCCACCATGCTGCCCTGCTTAACCCAAAAATGTTTGATTTTATTCCAACCAGATATCATTATTCCTTCTACTGTAAGTGAGTGCAGTTGTGTGTGTTCAGTCGTGTCTTACCCTCCAGCATGCTGACGTGCATGGCGTCATTGGCTCTCTTTGGCACACTCAGCATGACCTCCAGGCCATCTTTAATTTCACCTTTGCCTTCTTCACAGCAGGACAGCAGCTCCTGTAAGCACACACACTGTTCTCAACACTGCCCGGCACACAAGACACAACAACTGAGCGTCTTAGCAAAGTACATGCTGAAATCTTGGAAATGCCAAGCTACCTTGAGCAGCAGCTGATATTTGGTGATCCTCTGTACAGGTTTGATGAGGTATGATGATATAGAGTTGGTCAGACTGTGTCTCTTCTGAATCTCCTGTTTACAGCAACAATAAAATAATAATCAGTAATCAATAATCTATATATATATATATATATATATATATATATATATATATATATATATATATATATATATATATATATATATATATATATATATATATATCTGATTGGCTGATAGCCGTGAGATATTTTGCCAGTAACATCACACAAAGGCCTCTTAACCCTTCTCTGTGTATTACTCCGCCCCCATACAGCCAGCAACAAGCAGAGAGACGCTACAGTTTGACAAATATTACTGCTGTTAGACAACAAAATGTACTTTTGAGGCTTTTTAATAAGCATAATAATAAAGCATAATAAGCCCTTGCTTAGTGTGTTTTCCAGAGCATGAATAAGAAGCTTAAAAACTGAAGCATCATGGTTTTTAAGGTGAATAAAGTCAATAAGAAACTGCAAATAAGATGCTGGATTCAGCCTTGTCCCTTCTTATCGCAAACACAACAACAGTCTGGTAGTGATTGTTTTTTTCAAGGTTAATTATTGTGATATTGTAACGGTCGCTGAATGTTTGATATGCTTTGTGTATAAATGTCCCCTTTAAGAGGACTATTCCTGTGGTTGTTTTACCTTTTAGGTGCAAGCACGCATGTATGGGAGCTCAGTTCAGTTTTGGTGAGCTCTGAGGAGAAGTGTGTGATGGTCGCTCTACCGCTGTATGATTCTTTTATTTTAATAATGCAACATTTTATTTTGCGACGGATGTTTGAGTGTCTTTTTCTCTTCCTTTTGCCTACTCATTGTCATTGACTGGCATGTATGTATTCGATAGCACTTGGGAGAAATGCATAAAGGCCAATATGAAGAGCGAAATAGTTTCTGTCTCCTTTATTCTATAAGGTCTCCGGGTAAACGCTGGGACACCTGCAAAAGTTTTACTGACAGCATCATGGATATATGTGACTTTTTACCACAAAACCAGTCATAAGTGTACATGTTCTTTTAAAAATAATTTTTTAAATTGAAATGTGTACTGGATGAATAAATGATCATTCAGTTGATGTATGGTTTGTTAGGATAGCTCAGGTTAGAGTTTGAACTATTTTGATTTAATTGGATTCACGGAATAATAGTTGAACTAAAGAATAAGCAAGTTTGCTAGCCAAATGAACATTGCTAATTTTGATTTCACACGGACTTTAAAATAAACAGTAACTCTTTGAAAAACTGATGAGTACTTACATCAAAAAAACTCCCAGCATGGTCTAGGATGAGCTGACTGGAATCTGGTTTGTTTTTGCAGTATGTCACATAAATGTTAAACTTATCGGCCTGAAAAACAAACATACAATCTCCAGTTTAGCATATCAAAGTCAAATCAAATCAAGTCATATTGAACTTCATGGTTTTCTGTATCAAGATATTTTGATAAATATAAATAAATAAAAAGTATGGTCCTTGCCAGGTCTTAGAATTTGGAAGACAAAATTTGGAACAACATCACATCTCATACCATGCTATTATTTATTTAACACAAATAAAACCAAGATAAACAAGCCATGGGTGACAAACATAGGACTTTTTAAGTTGTTGTTGTTGTTGTTGTTTTTTTTAGCTATTCTATTGTAGATTTGCTGAACTTGCGATCATTGTCTTATTCAGGACCCCTGAGGACACACACCTGAAGATACACACATCTGAAAACTCAAGATGAAAAGATTAACAATGGCAGACCACTTTTGTTATTGCTATATGTTGTTTATCTCAATTTAATGCTGTTAATTTGTTTGCTGCCCAATGAGCAGAAGGGTAAACATGATGGTTATTTTCATAATGAATGGCTTTTTAAACTGCAAAACTAAAATCAGGCAGAAAGATAAATCAGTTTGGTAAGCTTAATATAATGAAAATATAATGTAGATATTTGGTAATAAAATGATGTAGGCCTTGATACCCCAACCAGCACAACCATACCCTGTCAATCAATTAATCCAACCATCCATCCAACCAACCAACCATCCATCCAACCAACCAACCAACTATCCATCCATCCAACCAACAAACCATCTAACCAACCAACCATCCATCCAACCAACCAACCAACCAACCAACCATCCGACCGACCGACCGACCGACCGGCCAACCGACCAACCAACCAACCAACCAACCAACCAACCAACCAACCAACCAACCAACCAACCAGCCAACCGACCAACCAACCAACCAACCGACCGACCAACCAACCATCTGACCAACCAACCATCCAACCAACCAACCAACCGACCAACCAACCAACCGACCAACCAACCATCTGACCAATCAACCATCCAACCAACCAACCAACCAACCAACCAACCAACCAACCAACCAACCAACCAACCAACCAACCAACCAACCAACCATCCAACCAACCAACCAACCAACCAACCAACCAACCAACCAACCAACCAACCATCCAACCGACAAACCAACCATCCAACCGACCGACCGACCATCCAACCGACCAACCAACCGACCAACCAACCAACCAACCAACCAACCAACCAACCAACCGACAAACCAACCATCCAACCAACCAACCAACCAACCATCCAACCGACAAACCAACCATCCAACCGACCGACCATCCAACCGTCCAACCAACCAACCAACCAACCAACCAACCAACCAACCAACCAACCAACCAACCAACCATCCAACCAACCAACCAACCAATCAACCAACCAACCAACCAACCAACCAACCAACCAACCAACTGACCGACCATCAAACCAATCAACCAATCAATCAATCAATCAATCAATCAATCAATCAATCAATCAATCAATCAATCAATCAATCAATCAATCAATCAATCAATCAATCAATCAATCAATCAATCAATCAATTAGTCAATCATCTATAAACCAATCAACGTACCAACAAATGAATAAATTAATGAATCAATCACTCAATGCAGGTATTAAAGAAAAACTCACCCATGTCACAAAGCAATGTCCCACATCCTCAGGCAGTTGCTCATAATTGATCAGCTCCTTCAGGAATATACTACAACACAAACAGAACAGCATGGAAATAATTCATAATCTCTACATCCCTCATGATATGGGACACAAGAGTTCACGCAAAAATTTAAATCCTGTCATTATTTACTCGCCCTCCAACTTCTTTGTCAAGTTGTCGAGGTTTTGTCCTCTGTTGAACACAAACATATTTTGAGGAATGCAGGAAAGCAAGAGCTATAGCCTTCCATAGTACTTTATCAATAGCTGCTGGCTTTCAGTATTACTCAGAATATCGTCTATTGTGTTCAACAGAAGAAAGGAACTCATAAAAGTTTAGATACTCGAATGAGAATATATGGTGAGGAAATAGTCATTGTTGGGCGGACTTTGCCTTAAATACAGTGGTTTGTGGCTTACAATTGTCACTTAAATGAGATTTATTGAGAGAAACTCACTTATTGTGGAAGTCGTAAATCTCCTGAATGTTGCCAAAGATGATGTGCTCTTTGTTGGCGATTCCTGGAGGAATTTCCTCCACACCATTGGTCATCTCCCACAAATATGTCTAACAATAAACCACACAAGAGAACTGAGAAGACCTTTAGACCTTTATTGAATGTGCTTTAGATTTTAAGCATATGCTATAATGAAATATATAACTGAATTATTAAATCGAATTGGAATTGAATTGGAAAAAATAAGTCATACATTTTTAATCCAGCAAAATTGCTCAAACCATTAATCAAAGAAGATGTCATTTACATATGAAAGATTTAAAGTTATGGCAAGCAAATTAAAGTGTAAGCATTATGGACATTTATATGAGCTTTATGATTTATTTGAATGAATAAAACTGAAGTGCATACCTCTAAGCATTCATGTAAGTCCCTCACATAAGCCTTTTCTGTCTGCAACAGCTCTGCTATAATAAACCTGCAACAGACAACACAGGTCGTTTATAAGAGTGTTCAGTGGGAACGGCGCTGGCTGGAGGCTGTGTGTGATCGCTTACTCTTTCTTCCGGGCTGATTTCCTCTTTTCTTCATTCACCTCGTGGTTGGGGTCACGGAGTTTAACCTCTGGGCCAGTCAGACTGGCTGGGATGATATCCAGCTCCAGATCCTTATTATCCTGAAACACACATAGTTGTTTTGGTGGTTTTGGGGAACTCTCCTTTTATATGCATATGTAATATACTTTATACTCTCTAAACTGCTTATGTTATTGCGTTACACAATCGCTACCCATAAAGCAAACCTGTGGCAAATTATGAAAGTGAAAACACATGTGATTTCGGTTTACCCAGGTGAAAAAAAATATATAATTAAATTAAAATACACTTAAATACCCGCAAATACATTTTTAGTACATTGTTATTTTTTGTGTTAAATAAAAGTTTGATGGTTTTACACTATAAATATACTAATTAAAAGTGTGTTTATACTTCAGTAGGACTTTAGTACACTTGACAAAAGTATACTAAATACCAATAATACTTAAATAACTTTTTAGTGTACTACAATAAAGTACACTACAGAAAAAACATCCAAAAGAGTTTTTTTAGTGTGTTTTTCAAAAGTGTGCTTTAAATGCTTTAAACATTAGTTGATTTTTAGTACACTGTTTACATACTAATCCTAAGTTTAAAATAAGGTAATATGTAAAATATCTATTAGTAATGTATTGTAGTAGAAGTACATTTTCCCAAAAGTTGTACTTAAGTACACTTGATATGAATGCATAAATTGATTTTGAGTGTGGTAATTTTAAGTTTAAAATAAAATGACTTTATAAAAAATCTATTAGTAATGTATTGTAGTAGAAGTACATTTTCCCAAAACACTTTTAATACAGTATTTAGCACACTTTTTTTTTTTTTTACAATTTGTATATTCTTTTAATATATTACTATTATACTTTAAATTAGTCATAAATATATTTAAATGTTTAAAAGTAAGGTTCAAGTGTAACTATATATATATATATATATATATATATATATATATATATATATATATATATTTTTTTTTTTTTTTTTTTTTAATACAGATATAGTATGTTAAAAGCGGTGTCAGGGTGTCTCAAAATAGCACAGTTGAGTACACTTAGATGGTATTAAGTTTATCTTAACATGTACTTAATACTATCTTTTAGTACATTAAGTACAAAATTAGTGTGCGAAAATAGAGCACTTTTAGTACATTACTGAAAAGTGTACTAAGTACACTTAAATAAAGTGCATTTTAGTGCACTTTTTTACCTGGGTAATCTGTCCAGTTGATGACTATAGTCTAAACTTTTGGAACTATTGTTACACATTTATTAGATTTTCACAGACAGCTCAAATTTAACCTTGTTTTAGCTTGTTTTTTATGTCTACTAGATGTTTTTTAAACAAAAAGTGTGTGCTGGAATGTTTGTTAACAAATTTAGCTGATTGTTTGAGTGTTAAAGATGCTTGATAGATTCAAAGAAGAAACAAACACAAAGGTTTGTAAAAATGCGTTGAAAAATCTTCTCTGTAAAAAGGCAATTAGGAAATATTTTAATCATATTTGACGGTTAATTATTTTCATTCAACCCAAGTAACTGAGGCTGCGTACGAAACTGCATACTTCCCTCATACTATATAGTATGCTAAAACTGTATGTGAACTGTATGTCCTTTCATTTGTTTATAGTTCAAAAATCGAAGATTTTGGAATTAAAGCTTCGTAAAATTTCGAGTATGTTCCATTTTCCTTTACGTTTTTATAATTACAGATGCGTGAATTTTTTTACGCACTAAATAATTATGACAGCGGTTTTATTCCATAACTTTAATAGTGAAAATTGTTGCTGTGAAGGCGTTGAATATGCTGTATAGATTGAGTACCTCAGAGCTGATGCCCAGCACATTTTCCAGGTCACAGCGGTATTTGCCCATGCGCATGGAGAAGTCCCTGTAGCGCTTGTCCACTGCCGTCAGACACTTCTTCAAGTCGGTGACATGCATGTGTCCTTTCTCAACAAAGTTATCCGCCAGCTGGATCAGCATCTTCACTTTCTCCTTAGTTTGCTGCGTCACATAGAAACAAAATGTTATTGTGTGGTCCACTAAATAAATATATAATTACAGTTAAATTCAGAATTATTTGTCCCCCTGTATTTTTTCAACACAGTACTAAACATAATAGTTTTAACTCATTTCTAATAACTGGTTTCTTTTATTTTTGTCATGATGACAGTGCATAAATATTTTCGAGATACTAGTACTCAGCTTAAAGTGACATTTAAAGACTTAAATTATGCAAGTTAGGTTAATTAGGCCAGTCATTGCATATCAATGGTTTGTTCTGTAGACAATTGAAAAAGAATATTGCTTAAGGGACTAATAATTTTGACCCTAAAGTGTTTTTTTTTTTTTTTCTTTTATCCAAACTGAAATAAAACAAATAAGACTTTCCCCAGAAGAAAAAAAGAGGTAGGAAATACTGTGAAAAACTCCTTGCTAAATATCATTTAAATATCATTGTAAATATCATTTAGGACAGAGTTTTTCAGCTGGTGGGTCGCGGGAACATTTTCAGTGGGTCATGAAAATGTGGGAGTGTGTGGTCAAAAAAACAACAACAAAAGTTACATTTTTTACTTATTTTGCTTATATCAGACTTTTATTTTGAAATGCGTGCGCGACAACCGTACCGTTTGACATGTGAAATTTCTTTTAATTATAGCAACAAATATGTTGAAGCTCAAGTACGACTTCAATTGTGGATTTACATATATTGATGACAAAAACCTCAATATGTCATATGTAGTGAGGTGGTCTCACAAGAAAGCACGAAACCTTCTAAATTAAAACGACATTTAGAAAACAAACATCCCAGTTGCAAGGACAAACCTGTGGACTATTTCCAAAGAAAACTCCAGTAGCTGAGGGCATCACAAAAGTGCTGAACATCTTCAAGTTCAAAACAAGTACAGGTACTTCGCGCATCTTACTGTGCTCATTGTGTAGCAAAGACCAAGAAAGCCCATATTGTCTTGTTTTCAGAAATAATAAGTCAAAATTATGTTAAATTTTCCTTAAAACAAGCTAAATAATCTACAAACGGGATAAGAAAAAAATTTGTTACATTAATATGTTGCTATAAAATTAGAGATACAATAATTTAACAGTATGTTAAGGAGCAGTAACATTAATGCAGTCTTACTGTTAACATATACATGTTTAAAATAAATAATAATAATAATAATAAACTGTTAAAATTTTACAGAAAAAATACGTAACTTGGTTTACAGCAGGTTTCTTTACAGTGAATCACAGTCAGCTGACTTTTCTAGAATTCCTCACATGACATGTTCCTTGCAGAATTTATTTTACGGTTTGTACCAGATTTTTAACAGTAAAATACCATTTTATCATACATTTGACAGATTTTTTTGTGCTGAAGTGGCCCTCGGTAGAATTTAATTTGAAACCCCTGCACAACAAGAAAGAGGGTGATAGGACGGATTTGTGTCTCTGTACCTTTGCGGAGATGCAGAATTCTTCGTATTCTTTGAGGAGTCCCTGAGTTTTCTCCATAGAGTCTCCGATGCAGGTGTGAGTGGCCAGATAGACCTCTCCTGCCTCCTCAATCCACTCTAATGCCTAAGACAGAGATGGACAGGCTCAAATCAAATCATCCAAAACACCAAGACATCATTTGTCACAGTATTTATTTTTATATAATCTAAAAAAATAATAAATATATGTAATACATTTTCAGGTGACTGAATACCACTCACTAGTACAGTACATTTGATATGCTAATTAGAAAAAAAGTGAACAATTAAACCAAATTATAACAATCTTCCACAAGCTGAACTATTTTAATTGGGAACACTTTACAATAAGTTTCCATTAGTTAATATTAGTTAACGCATTTACAAACATGATCGAACAATGAACCATTCATATTTTTAATAGGAAGCTATACAATATTATATTTGTGCATATACATTAGGTTAGTCAGTACTGAAGCCAAATCTGGAGCTAATCTAACAAAATAACTCACGATAACAGTCCAAAATGAGTACACCCAAATTTATATGTTACTGAAAAATATTAAATACAAATTTAAAAAAATGAGGAAAAATCAAGAGAAGCAAAAATAAATAAATAAATTTTGTAATAAATAAATAAATAATAAATAATAAAATGTAATTTTTTTTTGCAATATTTTGCTTGAATTTAATTGTCCTATCTTTCAATTTCTGAATAAGTTCGAAGACTAAAATGTTATTTTAATAAATATATCTGTTTAATAAATCTGTTTTGTTTAAATGCACCAAAATACATTGCCTATATTCACCGAGAAATGGATGAAACTATTCATTTTCAAAATGGCCGGTACTCAGTTATGCTGAGCTATCAGATGTGCTGAATTTACAATATGTTTATTCATCATTTTCTTCCAAAATACATGAATGCGGCTGTTTAACTGGTAGAGTAATAGAGTCTGGGGCATTGCTAGACATAAATCTACTGGGGCACAGCTCCTTCACAAAAAAAAAATAAATAAATAAATAAATAAAAAAGAAAATAAGTAAATAAATAACAAAACAAACAAACAAAAAAAAAATATATATATATATATATATATATATATATATATATATATATGTTATATATGTTTTTTTAAGAAAAAAAGTAAGTATAATTATAAATAAATAACAGTATTATTGTTATTATACAATTATTATTCTAAATAAATAACAGAAATCAATGTAACTAGAAAACAATCTAAAGACGATAAATTAATATATCTTTTGCATGAATATTAATTTTGTTAGAATGAAATTCTCTAGACAGTTCTACAGAATACAAAAAAAGATGTTTTATAGATTTATCTGTTGTGTGTGGTCTTACCCGACTTAAGGCCAAGAAATAGATTTATTAAGTTTAACCTCCTTGACTCATCTTCCCTTCTTTATGCTTCATACAAAAATAAATATTAGGAGCCATGCTTATTATAAATAATATAACCATCATATTATTTAAACTGTTTTGTTGACTTGCAAGACTCACGCGTCAGCATCAAGCAGGAGCGTGCGTGAGGCGCGCGGGTATTGTTTTTTTGCGCACATGCTCAGTTTGCTTTTTGATTGCTTTCATCAGCGTTGGTTCAGTTGCACATAGAGTAATTAATAAATAATAAATAATACACTTAATAAATACACTTGCATATAAAGTGAATCATATCTCAAAGCATTAACTGGGGCACTGGCGATTTTTACTAGGGCACAAGCCTCAGTAAATGGGGTCTAATGACGCCCCTGAATAGAGTAACCGTTCTAATAACAAACACTGTGTATCTTAGGTGAATAAACAAAAGAATAAAAAAATCATTACTACCTTCTCCATAGACATCAACATGTATTTTAAAAACCAAAAATGTTTTGCTAGTATTTATTTGAATGTCTAAAACCTAAAATAAAGGTTATTTGTTTGAAAACATGCAGAATATCTTATTTGAATTTTCCAGTTGATGATATACATTCTGAACATTCTAATCACACCGGTGTGATCATTAACTAATGCAAACAAGCACAACTTTTGATTTCATTAATGCATTAGTAAATGTTAAACTATGATAATCTAATGCTCGAGAAGCACTGAGAAAGATAACTACATGCACTATGTTGCATAACAGATGTGGTCAAATATATTTCAAAAATATACAACACAGGCATAAAAATACACACAATCTGCGAAAGGCATCAGCGTTTACATTGGACAGATTGACAAGCCATTTTTCCACAATTCTACCTGAGCCAATAGAATTCAGTGTTTTCACCTGTTTGGCATTGCGTTCAAACACCACATACTGCTGACACTGATCCAAACGCCGCTTCTTCATGGTCCAGAAATGCAAAACTCTGTTTTCCCTCTGCAGCAGTTCATTCAGGATGGCTGCACAAACACCACACAACACACAAACACACACGACAGATGCTTAACATGAATAAATGAGTGACCGCATCGATGAAGAATGTTTTGTGAGAGGAAAACTGGGAAAGATGGACACACATATGTTAGAACAGACTATAGAGAGTGCAGGATCTGACCTTTGACCTGTTGCTCAGGGCCACGAGTGTTGCTAGATGATCCCTGAGAGCTGACATTGTTCCGGTGGATGTATTTCAGAAAAACCTCAGCATTGCGCCTGGCCAGAGTGCATGCCTGAAAATGACGGAATTTAGTTTTCATATGTTTGATATACTGACTGACAATTTGAGCCAAAAAGTCAAATTGAAGCATTTCTTAAGACCTTTCCGAGTCCATATTTTACATACATATACATTATTTGAAATTATATTATATCCCTTGCTATTTACTATTGTATTTTGTAGTACAGTAAAGGTTAGTATTCTAATGCTGCGTTCACACCAGACGCGGCACGCGCGTCAAGCGCGAGTGATTTACATGTTAAGTCAATGCAAACGCGCGAATAGACATCCTGCGGTGCGATACGTGCAAATGGCGCGGTGCGAATGACGCAAATTGCGCGAATGGCGCAGTGCTTATAGCGCGATAAACGCAAGGCGAATTGAGCGTTTGACGCTCTTAACAAGCATTTTGCGCGAATCTCTCGAGTTCGAAAATCTGAACTTTAGCGGACATTCGCGCCGCGTTAACCAATCAGAAGCTTGCTCTTGTGTGGGCGTGATTGTGAGGTAGAACTTGTTAATGGTGTCCGGGGGGAAATCCTCCAGGCAACACCGACAACAAGTCATCAAACTGGGCTTGGCTCAGTCAGAAGCACCGCTGAAAGCCTCCGTCATCCAGGTTCAGTTTCTGGAGGAATTTATGAGTTCACAGAGCTGGATGCACCTCTGAAAGGATGCAGTGGACTCAGACAGGACCCTAAAAATTTCGACGCTGTTTTTCAGTCTCCATAAAGCACATTAACACTGTTATTTTCTTAATAAAATCCATGTTAGCCATTTAGCTATGAAGCTAGAGTCACCGGGCAGACAGAAGCCCTGCCCATCACACGAATCCGCGTCTGTTTTGAAGTGAATTTGACACGCGATTAAAGCGGATTTGACGGGGGAATGAAGCGGGGGTCGACGCGCGAATGAAGCGAGTAAACTCAAATGTTCACGCGGCTATTTACGTGCGAATAGTGGGATTTTTATGCGCGTTCCGTGTCTGGTGTGAACACAGCATAAGGGGAAAAAATATGGCATGTTTAGCCCGACAGTAACACATGTTTACCAATGGCACTACCACATGTTTACCAATAGGTGATTACTAGATTAAAATTCAAGCATTTTCAAGGATTTCCAGCAACCGTAAGAACCCTGAATAGTGACCTTGAGAAAAGCTTCTTTCTGCTCCAGGTGTTTGCTGATGAGAGGCAGAACGTGATCAGTCTCTGATGAAGATCCTAGTTTATCATGAGCTCCACACCAGTCTTCATCTCTGCGGTACTCCTGCTCCAGACTCTCCAGGACACTACACACCTGCAAACAAACCATTCACAGAACATTAGGCATGGCACAGGGGCTGGATCCAAAATTGCCTTCTATACCCTTTAAGAAGAACTCAATTGTTTGTTTTAGAAATAGTCTTATTTTACAAGTCTACTAGAGGTAAACCGTTTACTTGAACCATTTTTGAATCCATTCAGCTGATTTATTTTTCTGGTAGGATCACTTTTAGCTTAGCTTAGCATAAAGAACCTTTTAATTGAACCATTTTTGAATCCATTCAGCTGATTTATTTTTCTGGTAGGATCACTTTTAGCTTAGCTTAGCATAAAGAACCTTTTAATTGAACCATTTTTGAATCCATTCAGCTGATTTATTTTTCTGGTGGGATCACTTTTAGCTTAGCTTAGCATAATGAATTACATCAGATTAGACCATTAGCATTTTGTTAATTTTTTTAAAAAAGATTATTGATAATTTTCCTAGCTAAAGCTTGTGTCACCTGTAGTTACTTTAAAAATGGTTTAAGTCAATTGGTTCAAACTGAAATAATGGGCGAGTTGACTTTTTAGGGCACTTGTTGTTAAATTAGAACAAACTTCTCATGTAAAAAGAGAAACATATGAATAAACCAGCACAGGCTCATTCTGAAAACATAGTCTTGTGGAAGTTTCTGGAGACTTATGTAGCCGGAGATACAATTAATTTTTTTAAGTGAACACTGCGGGGCGGTGTGACGCCGTTTCTTTCAGTGCTTGCCGGCTGGCCGCTTACCTCCATGTGGAGGGCTTTCCCGCCACTACCAGTTTGTCCAATTATCTTGTTCCAGAAACCAGGTAAGACAAAAACAGAATCCAAAAATAAAATGAATAAACAGGGTTGAGAATGCGGTGAAAATCCGAAAACGTGGTAAAAATCAGGCGAGGGCTTTTCTGTTTCTGGACGGCTTGTGCAAACCGTCGGTTGCGTTTAGGGAAGTAAGTGGGTGGGCAGGCCAATCTGTAAAATTGTTTGGGTTAAGGGAAGGAGGAGAGTGGGTCAGTCGATTGGCCGGTCGCCCAGTCAATCATTCAGTCAGTCAGACAAACGGTTGGCCGACAACGGCCTCTGGTAGGTTTACATGAGAACAGCGCCGGCACTCGCGAGAGATGTTCGAGATGCGAAAAAGCGCACACAGTGGCCTCTCGAGGATTCACGAAAACAAAAAACTGCAAAAATGCGTACCTCAAGGGACGTATTTCGCTGTCTCCAGAAATGTCCACGCGACTACGTTTTCAGAATGAGCCTGGGTTGGAATGAACGGTGGGGTGGGTGATGAGGGTTGGGGAAGTTTTAGGAATGACTGGGATTGAATAACACAGGAGTACACCACTGAGTACTCTTGAATGATCTTTTGATGCTTTTTTATATTATAATAATTCATGTTTTAAAAATGGAACCACATTACACAATCAACACACACACACCTCTTTTCAATTAGAATAGTGTGAGACTATTTTTGGGACACTTGATAGGCTATTTTTTTGTTCGTTTTAATAAGCTGCATCAATCACGGGTATGTGGTGCACAACCCAAGGGGGTTAAGTGATATTGTGTTTCCCAGCACCTGTTCTGACGTCTTGTAGAAGGCCACCGAGGCATTAACCAGTTTGAGTCTGTCCTCCATCTTGAGCATGAGCTGCTGCCAGTGCACGGCCACCTTCTCTGCACAGCTGCGGATGGCCTCGGGGTCAAAGTGTCCAGCCTGTAACATGATTTCTGCCTTCTGCTGGACCTGTAGTGCACTCTGATGGGTTTTCTGGAGAGAGTTAGCGTGGAACAAAGACTGCAGAAAGAGAAAAGAAGAAGAACGGAAAATTAAATACCTTAAAGTGCGCGTGAAATCAATACTAACCATATTGATTTTGTTCGCTAATTTTGTGGTGAACAATTCATTTGTGCATGTCATTAACAACATTTTTTTGCCCTTCTAATATTTAATTGAAATCTGAAAATGCACTTCCTGTTTGCTTTCAGTTAAATTCTCAGATTAAGTTTGTCTGAGGTAATGGGCGTGGCTACCATACTTAACCACGCCCCTCCAACTATCAGTTTTGACAACAAGCAGAAATGGTGAGCAGGAGAAGTCTGTTAGGTTGTAATAACTCCTCCCAAACCCTTTCTCCGGTCATTCATAATGAAATATTCACTTTGCTACATCCAATCAGCTCGCAGTAGAACAAAACAAACCACGCCCACTGTTTTTTCATTCAGTATTTAATTTTTCTAGGAACTGCATCAGAATATGAAAACAAAATGGTCACAGCCTCTGGTTCATGGAGACTTGCGATACCAATATTTTTTGCGATATAACTAAGATGCAAAACATTATTTTATTAGCAATTAATAAATAAAATATCAATATGAGAACATTTCATGGGATGTCTTTCAGCGCCAGAGTGCTGACAGCTTTAGGTTGTCTACACTCAGACTCAGGCCTGTTTTCTGTCTTCTGGCATTATCATGGAAAAGGGGAAATAAATCTAACTTTAATAACTGTGGACATTTACGAGAAGAGTCCAGCAGGTAGAACCTCGTTCAGAGCAGGAAACAGAGATTGATGCCAAATCCTGTAATAAATTTGATGACTACTGTTCAGAGGGATTCAGACGAGTAGCAGAAAGTGTTTCAGAAACTTTTCTGTGATGAAAAAAAAATCTGAAAAACATTTTAATGCCAAATCTGTGATGAGAGTGATCTTTGTCTTTATTCTTGTAAGGATAGTTAAGCAAAAGCAGAACATTCTACTTAAGCCTTCACTTGTTGCAAACCTTTAAGTTTCTTTCTTCTGTATTAGCAAAATGTTAGAAACCAGCAATCGTTGACTTCCATTCATGCTTAGTCCCTTTATTAATCCGGGGTCGCCACAGCGGAATGAACCGCCAACTTATCCAGCAAGTTTTTACACAGCGGGTGCCCTTCCAGCCGCAACCCATCATCACACACTCATACACTACGGACAATTTAACCTTCTTGCTGTGGCGACCCTAGATTAATAAAGGGACTAAGCCGACAAGAAAATGAATGAATGAACGAATATATCTTTTTTTTTCAAAAATTACAGTAAAATGACTATAAAATGTGGTGTTTTCTACAGTTAACACAAACAAAACCTCTTAAAAGCAAGTTATACTTGGATTTTTTTAATGCTTTTTTATATATACACTCAACACTCCCTGAGCAAGTTATAGCTAATTGCAATGTAATTCTGAAGCATTTTTCTGTGAAAAACAAAACAGGTGCAATTATTTTGTTTTATTTTTCAAATTTATTTCAGCAGTCAGCATTAAGTCATTTGTTATTTTAACAAGGAAACTTAACATTTAATTTATATCAGTTCAAATCCCAATTCTATATTTATTTTTGTCTAAAAACTGATGAATATTCCAGAACTACAAAAAGTATGACTACAAAATGTGATTTTTTTTACAGTTAAAGGGAACCTATTTTACCCCTTTTACAAGGACTTTGGTGTCTCCAGAACGTTTCTGTAAAGTTTCAGCCATAAAGACCCATCAGATCATTTATTACAACCTCTAGAATATGCCCATTTTGGTGTCTGAATTCAGTGTAGCTGTTTTTGAAGCCTGTGGGTTTAAATGCAAATGAGTTGCTTCTCCCTGCCCACTGTTCCAACGTGCGTGTCTGTTTTTCCTGTGTTATGTCATATAAACAGCAGTCGGTGACAGATACAGACACAGAGGAAGCAGAAATACAGCTCATTAGTCAAAAATACCCAGTAAGTTTCTTTCATGTATTTGTGGTCTAATTTGAGTCACACACAAATGCGCACACACACACACACACACACACACATGCACGCACACCACACACACACACACACACGTATGAGCGTTAACTGACACAATGCAGATGTGGTTACTATAGTGATTAAGAATTACATAGCAATTTTACTGTCTTTATTACAAACATGCTCAGTTTTAAAAATATTTTCAACTTATAAAACTTATAATCTCAGTTTATTTGCAAAAAGAATGTTCTGTGGACATGTGTATACATGTTATTATACACCTGTCAATCATTCAGTGGGCAGGGAAAAACCACACTCCTATGTCTTATTGCGGTGGGCCTCAAAATCACTGGGAAATCACATTTTAATGTCAGGAAATTAAAAAAAGAGAGACTTATTGTCTTTATATCACTCCAATATGACTATAGTATCACACTATACCATCACACACATCTGTCCAAACACCTTACAAAAGATGATTTACATCATAGGTGCCCTTTAGTGCAAATAAAAACCTCTTGAAGGTTGATTTCTTTTCTTGATAAAGTTATGCTCGCATGTTTCATGCTTCCAACATAAATTTTGTCTACAGCCAACATTGCCTGAGCAATTTATTTCAATCATGTTTTGAGCTGTTTTATTTTTGCCAGTGAGAAACATGTGTATATTATTTATTAAAAAGAGAAGAGAAAGTGATTCATCCATGTAAAGGTCTACAGGACTACACACTGTTTTTATAGATGCCTGCTATATACGTACAATTTTGTGCAAAGACAGTGAAAGAGCCTCTGTGTGTGTGTGTGTGTATGTGTGTTTACCTCTATGGCCAGCTGGAACTGTTCATGTTCTCTCTGTAGTTGTTCGGCCTCTGACAGTGAACTTGCATTCACCATACTGGCATCCAACATAGATTCACCATTACGAATCCACCCCAGAACCTAAACAACGCATAACGCAACAAAAGCAACGTTAGCACTGTAACACAACATCTTATTCTGAACGCCATCTGAAAAAAGAACCTAGGACAAAAAAAGTAAACAATATACTTAAAGGGACAGTTCACCAAAAAATGACAATTCTGTCATCATTTACTTGTCTTTTACTTGTTTCATGTTTATCTACGAATCTATTCCTTGGCAGTTTGTGGGTCCTTCACCGGGCCTTTTCCCCTTAGCAAAGAAACTTTCCAAAGACGTCTGTTTCTTACTCATTTTGCTGCTTGTGGGTTAAATTTGGGCGCTCAAGTGACCAAGATGTAACCAAGAGAATACGGTCATTTTTTAAAATAAAAGAATTTTCGTTCAGACTTAGATAAAAGAGGTTGAGGATATATAGTAGCTATATTTCCAATAAATCAATAAAAGGGTTGGTTATAATTATGTATAATGTATATATAATGTATATATAATTGTATATAATGTAGTGAATCATCTGATTTTCATTGAGCAGGTGTAATATTCATTAATATTAATTAATATTCACTAAGTTACCGATGTTTGGGGTGGAGTGATAACTTGGTCACATCATCATTAACCTGCGAGCTTCATTTTGCTCATGGGGCTGCGAGAAAATAAATAAAAAGAGCGGGGCTACGGCAAAATAATGAATAAAAATAGTGAGGTTATGGTCAAATAAATAAATAAATGAAAAAAGTGTAACTGCTGAGAGTGCAAGCAGCTAGGGACACCGGCCCTCGCGGCCAAAAAATGGACTGGCCCACCGGGAATTCTCCCGGTGATCCCGATTAGCCAATCCGGGCCTGCTTTTGGCACTACACTAATTAAATATGAGCAATATCACATTAATAGCACTGCGATATGACTGTATATCAGCCCTGGTGGGAGGCGTGCGTTGGCTTGAGGCACCAGACCGAGTGCCTTAGTGTCCCATCAGTGCCTATATACAGCCATATCACACTGCTACTCGTGTGATATTATGTTTATATAACAGTTTGACAGCATAATCGTGTATTAGTGATGTACAATACCACATATTCTCTACCCGATCCGATACCAGGTAAAATAAAGGCGAGTATCAGCGATACCGATCTGATACTGCCCAAAAATGACTGTTTGGGAAATTAAAGTAACAAGTAGTGAACTTAAAAGTGTCACTTTATAATGAATACGAGCCATGTTACGGGCTATTCTTGTTTATCGTTTATTGATGGAGAATTATCATGCAAAAAAAAGCCAACTTACATATTTTTTGACAGCATCTGAGCATGTATATCTTAAAACGCCTGCCTGAACATCTTAAAAAAACATATTCACACTTCTACATTTACTGACATGTTAATCCGGTTCTCATGAAAGTGTTTTGACCCTTTTTTTGTTGTTTTATCATTGTCACAAATAACCTAAGACTCCTAATACATCCACATCGCCACATTTTCTCCCTTTGTACCTGGATGGTGCCTGCCTGCTGCACCTAAGGACTCTGAAAGCGATGTCTGTCTCGCCCTAGCAGCACCTGTACCTCTCCTTTCCTCCTCGTCTGACCGCCTAGTCATGACGTTGTCATATTCTGTTTTGTGATTTATATGTCGATGTTTGGTTAGGTTTGTAGTATTACCACAGTAGCTCACTGTTTTGTTAAACGTCTCACGAACCGCATCGTTTGAGTTTATGGAAGTGAAGTAGCTCATAACTTCGCATGTGCCAGGCCAGCGGACTGAGTGGCTAGCTAGGGTGCGCTGCAGTTGTACAGTGCCATATTACGCATATGACTTTGCAGGCGGAAGAACAAGTAGTCCAACTAAAGTTGGCATTATTCAGAGAAACTAGGGTAATTGTGGTTGCTTTCCGCTGTATTTCTATTTCCAATAAAATACATATTTGCTCCAAATTATTGAAATATCAATATTTTGATAAGGTAATCGATTCTAAAAACCTGGTATCGGAGATATCGATATTTTAGTATTGATCCGCACATCACTATCGTATATATAAAAAAGAAAATCAAACACAGAGAGTTTCCAAAATCCTTATGTACGAGGAACTACTTTCTTCCACCATTCATTCACATCTGAAGCTGACGTCAAGCTGAACAACAGAAACTGCTGCTACTTCACAAACCTCACTTTAGAGCTAGTATTGGGATTGATTCTAATATGATTGATTCTCTTGTGCCATATCTAAAATGATGACCAAAGTAGGTGATTTTGCACATATTTGTCAGGGTTCTGCCACTCTGTCAGGTAAATTCTTGTTTTGGTGGCAGAATCCAGACACTAGTCATGTCTAATCCTGTCCTGTTGTGCACTGCTCAAGTTTTCTTGGGTCGAGCACTTGTTTCTGTCATTGTGTGTGTCTCCGTGTCTGCGTCCCTCAGACGCGCGCGCACTCTTGTACTCGTGTTTGTGTTTTCGTTTGTCTGCAGCGTTGTGTTTCATTCCCCGCGTCTCAGTCTTGTTGGTTTCGGTTTCGGTCGGCGCTGGGATGAAGCATGCACGCTGCGTGTGTGAGCGCACGGTGAGTGTTTTCATTCATCGTGTGCTCGTGTTATGCGTCTGTCAAAGCACGTGGCTCTGTGTTTACATTGTGGTCACGTGCTTTTGTCGTGTGCTTCAGTGTTGTGCTTGTCTCGTCATGAACATGCGGTTAATGAGTTCTCTCATTGGCTGCATGTTCTTGTCCTGTTTTATGTGAGCGCATGGCTTGTGTTGTCTCTCTGTGTCGCACGCTCTCCCGTGTATGGTCTAGTCCCACCCTCCTTGTTAACTCATTATTAGTTTGTCATGTTCACCTGTTTGTGTCAATTTACTTTTGCTTTAAAATCCCCTCATGTTTTCAGTCCTGTGCCAGTTTGTCGTCGATACTCCCTCTGTGTTCCTGTTCCAGTCGTGTCTTGCCAGCCCAGCCAAGTTTGTCTGTTTGTCTTATAGTTATGTTTTTTCCCCCCTCGGGATAGTTTGTTTTACCTTTTGGTTTTATTTGTACTTTATCATTAATAAAACCCTTATTTGTTGCAATTGAGTCCCCTTTTCCCCTCCCCCGACCGTGACAATATTTATGTTCATTAATAACTTCCCTTCACCTTGTCCCAACACAAATTGATTGTATGGAACCCAGCATTTGCTACAGTGTAGAAGTAAAAACCGTTACGATAAATACAGTGAAAATGATCTTGTTCTGATTGTAAATTACCGCAAAAGAGCTAATAATTTTGACAGTGACAGCTCAGATGAATTCTGATATTTGCAGTTAAATGCAGGACTCACTTGCTTAATATGCAATGGATATAGCTGTACAAATGACACCCAGGTGTTAAGAGATATCCTGAGCAGAATAGGCTGAATTCATGTCTCTTTATTAGTTGCATTTCTCTCTATTAGTGCTCATGTAGCTGCAGACACTTTAAGGCTGTCACTGGCGACAGCACTTTGGCCCTCACTTACGCTCTGAGTTAGATTAGCTCAGAGAGACAGTAAATCAGCCATCACAGCAGGCCATATTGATTATCAATCACAGGATCTAGCAGCGAGCGCCACATGAGACTCTGCGTCAGCTTGAGACTGTGATTTCGGGAGAAAGAAAACACTCTTGTTTCAGAAGAGTAAACTAAAGCAGCAAATATATATTATTTTACATACAGTTGAAGTCAGAGTTATTAGCCCCCCTGTACCTTACATTTCCCCCAATTTCTGTTTAATGGAAAGAAGATTTGTTCAGCACATTTCTAAACATGATAGTTTTATAACTCATTTCTAATAACTGACTTATTTTATTTGTGACAGTACATTTGACTAGACATTTTCAAGACACTACTATTCAGCTTAAAGTGACATTTAAAGGGTTAACTAGGATGATTAGGTAAGCTAGAGTAATTAGGACCTTAAAATTGTTTAAAAAAATTTTAAACTGCTTTTATTCTAGCTGATATAAAACAAATAAGACTTTCTCCAGAAGAAAAAAATAGGTCCCACTTTATATTAAATGGCCTTAACTAATATGTACTTACAAAGAAACTAATAGTTTGTTACAATGTACTTATTGTGTAAATACATGTATTTAAGGTGTACTTATGCTTGATTAAATACATGTATGTAATTACATCTGTAATTAACTTTTGTAATTACATTTGTAAATACACTATTGACCATCCCTTACACCTAAACCCACCCCTAAACCTATCCACACCACCAAACCTGTCCATAAACCAACCTCTATCCCAACTCAAAAGCACCACAAGTGTTCTCAAATACATTATAAACACAGTAAGTACATTGTATTTATTTTTTGATGTAAGTACATAGTAGTTAAGGACACTTAATATAAAGTGGGACCAAATAATATTATAGGAAATACTGTGAAAAGTTCCTTGCTCTGCTCAACATAATTTGGGAAATATTTGAAAAAAAGAAAAAGAAATTACATAAGGGCTAATCATTCTTCAACTATATATTGGTCAATTTATATTTTTTATTTATTTATTTATTTTATTTTATATAATTAGTTTGAACACAACATGCTTTTTTGAGTGTATGTGGGGTGAGTGAGACCCTCTAAAATGGAAATATACCTGATCTTTACCAGACACAGCAAAGTATAAAGAGCCAGAAAGTAATTCAAGTTAACTGTTAAAGTTAGACGATTTACTCTAACTATACACTGTAAAAATGCTGGGTTCCACACAATCCATTGTTGCTGGCACAACATAAAGGAATTAAGTTAACTTTTTTTGTTTTTACAAGTTTAAGTGGATTAAACAGGTAGGTTGTTCCCAAAAGTTTTTGAAATCATTTTTCTGAGTGTACATACACAAACAGAAGCAACAAAAAAGTCTGCAGTAGTACACTGCACACTGAGGGCTCTATTTTGACGGTCCATGTGCAGAGCGCAAAACGCAGGGCGCAAAAGCTTTCAGGGCGTGTCAGAACGCATTTTTGCTAATTTACGGACGGGAAAATCTGCTTTGCGCCGTGATGCATGGTTTAAAAGGGTTGAGTTTATTTTCTTAATGAGTTATAGGTGTGTTTTGAGAATAAACCAATTAGAGTCTCATCTCCCATTCCCTTTAAGAGCCAGCTGCGTCGCACCAAGAGCACATTCGCTATTTACAGGACGTAAAGTAAGTCTAAGTGGAAAAAAATGAGCATTTCACAAGCAAACAGTTAACAGTTTTTTTAACAGAAAACTGTTAAACAGAGCATCTACTGCGTGAGAATGAGAGATAATGGATCTACTTTCACTTTCGCTCTTGGACAGGGAAACCTTTACGAATAGACATTTCTAAATTCAGTTCTAATTTCCAGCAAACGAATAAATGAACAACAATAACGAAGCGTGCTCAAAAACCTGAGTTATATCCTAAAACACATGCTGTGCCCCATATGGTCTAAAACCTGACAGGTGGGCAAATCTAAGCTTGTTTTTAATAAAACAAATATAAATATGGATATAATAAATAATACTGCTAATAATGATAACATTATACAAAAGCAAATTGTTATGAATGAACTGAAAAAGCCTCCCGAGATGAAGAAGACATAAAAGCAGTGATTTTTCATATTTATGTAGGCTAGAAAATAATATGTTTTGTAATATTTTAATCCTTTATATTTATATCCTATATCTATTCTTATTATATCCTATATATATATCCTTAATATTATTTTTTTTTAATATGTAAAGATATTTGCCAATTGCTCTCTTGTGTGTATTAAGCAGTGTGTAAGCGAGGCGCAACTCTGCGCCGGAGTTTAGACCGGGTTTGTTTTGGTCTAATGAAAAATCCATTATAGTTTCTTGAAATAGCAACGCGCCAGCAATGCGCCTCAGAACGCCTTCCTTTTTACACCAGAACGCCTTTGGACGCACAAATGAGCGCTAATGCATTTGCTATTTAAACAGCGTATCACAACGCCTCAAAACTAGCAAAAGACTATTGCGCCACATTGCGCCACATTGCACCAGGTGTATGATAGGGCCCTATGTGTGTGATATCGATTTCATGTCTAAATGCAGTGTGTTTTTACCTGTTTAACCTCAGCCTGCAGGTGGCGGAGCTGCACACACTGCTCCAGGCGCTTCTGTGTGTGTTCGGCGCTCATGTCCAACTCGTGCTGTTTCTCATGAAGGAACTCCAGCAGCTCCTGAACTTGTGTTGCCAGATCCACCTCCTTCTCTCCGGTCAACTCAATACCTGCATATCACACACGCATTTCATTTACACACATCTTAGTGAGGATGTTACAGACTTGAGTTGTTTTTATATCAGGTTAATGATAGTGTTTCTGCATTTAACCTACCCCTTAACTCAAAACAGTAACAAATGCCAATCATGAGATACTAATAAGAGTTCTCGACGATTTGTAAGCCCTTTTAATTAGTGAGGAGCAGTGAAATGTCTTCACTAGTGTGTTGTTTTGATATGTCACTACAGTGAAAACCCTACTAAGTTGATCAAACCTATCTGATTGAGTAAACTCCTTCCCTCAGTTTAAGTGAGCAATGGGGTCTCCCGCAACGTACTTTTTTAAGTTTAATGAACTTGGTGGTTTTACAGAACGTACTTCAAATTTTAAGTTAACCTAACTTGACATTTGTATAATTCATTCATTCATTCATTCATTCATTCATTCATTCATTCATGCATTTTCCTCTGGCTTAGTCCCTTTATTCATCAAGGGTTAACCACAGCAGAATGAACCGCCAACTTATCCAGCATATGTTTTACACAGATACCTACGTAACATGTAGAGTTCAAAATTATTTAGTGGTAATTTGACTATTTTTTTCATTATAAGTGGACATATGAGCCATAACAAGTATAGCTAAAACAGTACACAAACAAACACACTGCATTATTTGGTTGGCTTAGTGGTTAGCACTGTTGCATCACAGCAAGAAGGTCACTGGTTCGAGTCCCGGCTGGGCCAGTTGGCATTTCTGTGTGGAATTTGCTTTGTAAAACATATGCCGGAATAACTGGTGGTTCATATAGCTGTGGCGAACCCTGATAAATAACCGACTAAGCTGAAGAAAAAATGAAATAATCTATATTATTTGAAACAAACTCATCACCACTGGGTGGCAGTATGACTGTACTTTAAACCCTTAGCACCCATCTCTCCTCATCATAACTTTAACCAAAAGTAATGTTTAAGTGAAAGATAACTAATGGTCAGCAAAATAATCCCCAACAATGTGTGGACTGATAGAGAGGTGTTAGGATAACCAGGGACAAATGTCAATAAAAGATTAGCCTGACTTTAAAAAATGACAAAAGAAACAATTAGATTAAATAATGAACTATAAATTATGAAACGCAAAGTCAAAGCTTGATGTGTAAAATCATATTAGGGGAAAAATGTAAATGGTTATTTTGGATCATTTTAATATTAGAACAATACAAAAAAGCTAATATAACTAATAATAAATAAATAACTAATTTAAGGAATTATAATATAAATATAAATAAAATATGTATCATTTGAAATATGACTGTTCTAGTTTTATTAGTTTTTTAGTTTTATAAGTTTTAGTACAATTTAGTAAAAGTCATACAAGTACTTTTTAGTACAAATTCGGCATGAAATTAAAATGTAATTGTTATTTTTATTTGTATGTAGTAGTGTTTTTTATTAATAATGTGAAATAGTCAACATTTGAAGTGGATTATCACCTTTCATCAATGTTAAAATACTCAACAAAACCCATTCTTGTCCTAGGACAACTTTTAAAAACGTTATTGATTCACATGTTGACGACTATATCTGTACTAAATTAATTTGACCTCAGATTCATTCATTCATTCATTTTCCTTTGGATTAGCCTCTGTTTTAGAGGTCTCCACAGTGGAATGAACTGCCAACTATTCCAGCATATGTTAACCTATCCTCCCTAGTTTACCTAGTTAACCTAGTTAAGCCTTTAAATGTCACTTTAGGCTGTGTAAAAGTGTCTTGAAAAATATCTTGTCAAATATTATTTACTGTCATCATGGCAAAGATAAAATGAATCTTATTATAAATGAGTTATTAAACTGTTATGTTTAGAAATGTGCTGAGAAAAATTGGGGGAAAAAATAAACAGGGGGGCTAATAATTCAGGGAGGCTAATAATTCTCACTTCAACTGTATGTGCATCACGATAGAGGAAAAAAGGACAATCTTAATCTCTGTTTCATGGTGACTTTAAATCAATGGAGTGTGAGAGATTGTCACAGTAATGTCTGGAGCAGATGGTGTCCAAAACCCAAAAACAAGATAGTGTCCTCAGCCAAGACCCATATGTGTGAGAGAGAGGGGGGTGAGAGTTGGGTCAGCAGTTTGAGAAGAGGAAATCTGTTTCCAGTGTTAAAAATATCTGTGAGACACTGAATTGGACGCTCACACATTATAGAGATTATGTATTATAGAGGGGAGCTATTATTCAAAAATCAGGTTTATAAGTGGTTTAAGCACATCTGTGTGACAACAGTGTGTGAATATAGACCTTTTTCATGGCTGCTGCATGGAGGGCGCCATAGCGACCAGCGTCTTCCGGTAGAATGCCATAAACTTCCGTTCACAGCGTGTACAACTGGTAATTTGCGCTCTGAAAATGGGTTTTAATAACGTTTTTAATGGATAACAGAGTGTTTTTGTGACACGCAACTTAGAAATGTGTCTGTTAAAGCCGTTATAATCTGTCACATGTGGGTCAAGCGCGTCAGAAAAACGAGAAAAACATTCTCCTAGTTCACGTGTCTGCCGTCAGAAATACAGTGTGTGTGTGCGTTCCCGGCCTGTCAGCTGTTAGCTCAGCGGCTCTTTAACACACACACACACACGCACACACACACAGAGAGAGAGAGAGCAAACCAGAGTACTGGCATGAAACTTAACAGGTATGAAAGTCGTGCAATTTACAAAAATGAGCAATAAAAGTCTGTTATTGATCCTCTGCTGGCTGATTTGCTGTTCATTCTAATCGCGAGCCGTTTGAGTTTTATTTCATGTGTTGTTTTTACAACGGTTTGTGTTTTTCTGTCATTTCGTAATGACACTAGCCTATATTTTCACTTTGTCACAGTTATTAAATCAGTGTGTCAGTGGCACAGTACAGGCTACGTGTGTGTGTCAAACATTTTGGTGAACTACATTTGTTTGGGCTGGTTATATATTTGAAATAAAGAAAAAACGTTGACTTTAGCGATGACGAGGCTTCATTTAAACTGCAGAAGATGCCGTCTGACAGCGAGAGGAAAACGCCTCACAGCAGCTGTTTTCCATCCCATTAGACCGCATTTCTTTAAATGATCAGTCCAGGAGATGATGCTGATGGACAACAGTATTAGTTCAAAGAGGATAAAAGCAGGTAAAATAGATTAAAACTATCATTTCAAAGCTGTCCAAATGTGACTGTTTACACGCATCAGCTGCCGACCGGAAGTTCTTCGCATTCTCCTTGCGCATACACGCAAAGCATCATGGGTCATTTTGCGTTCCAAGAAAAAGGTCTATAACCAGCATCTAACAGTACAAAGAAATGAATTGAACTTTTTATAATCACACTTGATAAAAACAGTCTGCAGAAACACCATTTATTGTCATTCTCCATTTGAATGTGTCATCAGAGGGGAAAAGCCCCTCCCATTAGTGACAATATTAGCATGATATTCTCTCCCATATTAGCATAAAGAGCCCTGAGGGATAAGCAGCCGTCTGTCAATGGAGTTTTCACACTGTATAAGATAATAAATGTAAAAGTTTTAGCTCTTGCACTACACATCACCGAGATGTACAGTTACAATGTTTGATAGGTGTGTATCAGGGTTCAAGTCAGGCTATGTCGAAGTTAATGTGCATTTGATGCGGAAGTATAAATCAGTCTTTACTCTTTCTCTCACCTGAAGCTTGGACTTCCATGATGTACTGATGCAGGTCCTGACCCTGCTGCATAACTTCGTAGGTCATGTTAGTCATGGCCAGTTTCCTCTCTGCGTGCCGCTGGAGTCTCTGCTCAGCCAGACTGGGTTCTTCTCCAGTATACTCATTCATCTGACGAACCAAGTCTTCATTCCACGCGTCTAACTCTGCCGTTACCTGGATTGCACAAAAGACACCCAAGTGTTTTCAGATATCAAAGGGACAAACATTTCTCAACACAGACAATGTTGTTGTGAAAAAAACTCAGATTATTCTGTTTTATAAATGTACTGTTGAATGTCCTGACAATGACTAATGATAAATTAAAATTCACTTTAGTCATTTCTATTAAAACTTGTAAAATAAAAAAAATTATTTAAATGTGAAATCGAGACTCGTCAGACCAGGCAATGCTTATCTAATCTTCTATTGCCCAGTTTTAATGCGAATCATAGCCTCAGTTTCCTGTTCTTAGCTGACAGGAGTGGTTCTGCTGCTGTAGCCCATCCGCCTCAAGGTTGGACATGTTGTGTGTTCAGAGACGCTCTTCTGCAGACTTCGGTTGTAACGAGTGCTGATTTGAGTTACTGTTGCCTTTCTACCCAGTCTTAACCAGTCTGGCCATTCTCCTCTGAAATCAGCAAGACATTTGCGCCCCCAGAACTGCCGCTCGCTGGATATTTTCTCTTTTTTTTCCTGAACATTCTCTGTAAACCCTAGAAATGGTTGTGCGTGAAAATCCCAATAGATCAGCAGTTTCTGAAATACTCTGAAAAGCCCGTCTGGTACATGCCACATTCAAAGTCACTTAAATCACCTTTCATCCCCATTCTGATGCTCACTTTGAACTGCAGCAGATCATCTTGATCATGACTATGCCTAAATGCATCGAGTTGCTGCGGCTGATTACAAATTTGGATTAACGAGCAGTTGGACAGCTAATAAAATTACCTGTGAGTGTTTTATAGAACATTATTAAAGGGATAATTTACTAGTCACATCCTTTATTGACCTGTCACCTATCATAAACTTGTTTGAGTTGAGTTCCATACTGTTAAACACAAAAACACAAACACACACACACACACACACAAAATAAATAAATAAATACAATTTTAAAAAGTATATATAATACAAGTACTTTGTGTTCAACAGAATCTGTTTGATCAGATTTTGAATCACTAAAGGATGAGTAAACGGTGAGTATATTTTCATTTGTGGATGGATTATCCCTGTCTTCTAACATCAAGTGCACGAGCTAAGCTAGTTTAAAAGATGAAAAGATGATACATGCTGCTGTGAATCTTATTAAAATCAAGCATACATATGCGCTTTTACCTCAATGGTGTACTGCTCAAAGATGCGCAGTTGCAGGAAGATGTCGAGTTTGATCTTTCTCTCATGGAAGAGTTCCTCCATGTGGCCCTGCGCCTCCTCTAGCTGCTGCAGGACGCCCTCAATGTGAGCGATGGAGCTGGTGTGGGGCATCTTATTACTGCTCATTGCTGAATCTCTGTGAACCACACAATTAATGCGTTAAGAGGAAAGCTTATTCCACATCCGTTACAAAATGCTAATTTATAACATTCTAAATTTTCTCAAAAATATTCTGAATCGTTCCACCATACAAAATCTGAAAATGTGTTCACACTACTGCAATTAGCGTTCTGTTGTAGAATTCTTTCTGTCTTTTTTAGATATTATTCCTTACATTTACCACATAGCATTCAGGGCTCAGGGTGCAGGTGCACTTTTGCTGTTTTAAGGGTGGGAAAAACGGTCTGCGGAACAGGCGCATAGTCTTTGGGGGGTTTTTCTTGTTCTCAAAAATATTATGAAGGAAAATGTGTTTAATTAATTTAGCATGCTGTTTTAAAACTCTTTCTTTCATTTTTTTATAATAATTCTTACATTTAACACATAGCATTTGACGCAGGTGCACTTTTGCTGTTTTAAGGGTGGAAAAAACAGTCTGCGGAACAGGCGCATAGTCTTTGAGGGGTTGTCCTTGTTCTCAAAAATATTCTGAAGGAAAATGTGTTTAATTAATTTAGCCTGCTGTTTTAAAACTATTTCTTACTTTTTAAAATAATAATTTTTACATTTAACACATAGCATTTGACGCAGGTGCACTTTTGCTGTTTTAAGGGTGGGAAAAACGGTCTGCGGAACAGGGGCATAGTCTTTGAGGGGTTGTCCTTGTTCTCAAAAATATTCTGAAGGAAAATGTGTTGAATTTAGCTTGCTAATTTAAAACTCTTTCTTTCTTTTTTTATATTAATTCTTACATTTAACACATAGCATTTGACGCAGGTGCACTTTTGCTGTTTTAAGGGTGGGAAAAACGGTCTGCGGAATAGGCGCATAGTCTTTGAGGGGTTGTCCTGGTTCTCAAAATTATTCTGAAGGAAAATGTGTTTAATTAATTTAGCCTGCTGTTTTAAAACTCCTTCTTTCATTGTTTTATATTAATTCTTACATTTAACACATAGCATTTGACGCAGGTGCATTTTTGCTGTTTTAGGGTGGGAAAAACAGTCTGCGGAACAGGTGCATAGTCTTAAAGGGTTGTCCTTATTCTCTGAATGAGTTATGGGTGTGTTTTGGGTGTAATGTGCATTAAATCAGTCTTATCTCCTATTTTTTTAAGACAAAGTTGTGGTCACACAATGGTGGTTTTGCTATTTACATAACGAGGTTAAAGTATGCAAGCAGACCATCTACAGAATTAGCTGGATTCCACCAAAGTGGTGAAGATGCATAGAAGAAAATGGTATTTCTATATTGATGTAGACTATACAAATCTTTTACATTTAAATCATTAAATTTTTTTGCACAGGCGACGCAGTGGATGGATCAGTTGGTGGTTCTGTGTGGAGTTTGCATGTTCTCCCTGCGTTTGCATGGGTTCCCTCTGGTTTCCCGCAACGTTCAAACACATGCGGTGCAGGTGAATTGGGTAGGCTAAATTGTCCGTAGTGTATGAGTGTGTGTGAATGAGTGTGTATGGATGTTTCCCAGAGATGGGTTGCAGGTGGAAGGGTATCCCCTGCGTAAAACAAATGCTGGATAAGTTGGTGGTTCATTCCGCTATGGTGACCCCAGATAAATAGAGACTAAGCCGAAAAGAAAATGAATGAATTTTTGCACATTCATAGGTTTTTGCATATCTTGTGTGTGTAATAAGCAACATATATACATATTTTAGATCCACCTATTGCTTAAACAGTCTTTTAAATAACAAATAAACACCATGCGCCATTGACTTTAGACCAGCTTTTAGCGTTTTCAGATTGTTGAGAACAGCTATTTAGGGATAGTTTGTGGTGTGGTCTTATTGACTTCTTCACTTCACTACTCCTAACTCCATTGATTAGGAGCTAGTTTTAGTGCTAAAATACTTTGTGAAATACGTTAAATTTAAGACCGAGATTTTAAGGCATGCTAGGAGGTACTTTTAGCCTTAAGATGCTTTGTAAATACAGACCCTGGTTCTTAATACTGAATGTAAATTCCTCAAGCTTCAGCGGCAATAACATTCAAACATTTGAGTGGGGTGATTTGTTTAATTGTAAGTTATTATACATTATATTGAGGAAAATATGTAAATAATTGTAATGCAGCATTTTTAAGACTCTGAGGTATGTAAATCTAATGAGTAGAACTGAGTACTTGTTTATGCGGTACATGAGAAATGAAATTGTATAATGATATGGGTCTGACCTAGTTGTACTCTATTGAGGAGGTTTTCGAGGACATGACCTGTCCTTGTAATTAAAAATGCTTAAAAATGACACTAAATGGGGTTTTTTGATGTTCAAAATTTGCCAAAGGTTTCTTGTGAGGGTTGGGTTTGGGGGTAGAGGTGGGTTAAGGCCATATAATACGTGTTTTTTACATATAAAAGTCCTTGTAAACCACCAATACCAACATGTGTGTGTGTTTTTACCGGAGTTGTTGCATAAGATCTTCTCCCTCTTTAATGACATTGAGTGTTGCCTCCAGCGTGGCCGTCTGCTGCTGCTGAAACTGTTTTATCAGCTCCTGAACTGAATCGACTGAGTCAGAACAAACTTCCTCCAGCAGCTCTTTCTGCAGGTCCTCCATCCACGTCCACAACTAAAACACATTTAGAAACATACACACCAATTAGACATTATTGGTACCTTATTAAGTTTTACTAAATGTGACCCATATAACACGCACAGTAACACACTTACTTTCCAAAGACCTAAAAAAGTTTCACAACTTTTCTGAAGACCAGGAAATGGAGTGACCTGCAGCTTTTAACTCCCATTTAACAAGAATCTGTCCTGAATCTAATATTAGGAAGCAGCCACACTCTCATTTCTCACGCTGCTTCCATTTTTAACATTTCAGTGTAAAAGATTAAAGAGTACTGAGCCAGACACTGCAGTAAAACCTTGAACACAATGTTATTAGAGCAGTTATTAGAACAGTAACGTTACACTGAGATCAAATGTATTTCATAGTTTATTTCGTAACAGAAAGTCGTAATGGAATTTAAATAAGTGAATCAGGCTTCAGTTGGGTTGCAAAACTTTACTGTAAGAAATTTTTCAGATCATGGTGATGTTTTAACTTACTGAAATTACTATTGCTGAATACATAATTTTGAGTCCTAACATCTGCGTTGAATATCTGAACTTCCCATCACTACTGTGTATGTAACCTCAGAAGCAGCCTTGCACACATGGGCTGCTATATTTGAATTTGAGGATGGGTAGATGGTAGGAGGAATACATGTTTCAGAAAATGTATGGCTGAGTTTTTATTATGCAATAATTATGCAGATGATTTTGAATCTGGCACCTAACAAATATCCTTATTTAGAAAAAAATAAAATAAAATAAAATAAAACTAAATCGATTCCCCTGCTGAAAAATACAGCTTAAACCAGCGTAGGCTGGTTGGCTGGTTTTAGCTGGTTGACCAGCCTGGTTTTAGAGGGGTTTTAGCCATTTCCAGGCTGGTTTCCATTTATTTCCAGCCTGGTCTTAGCTGGTCTGGTTGGAAGATGACCAGCTAAAACCAGCTTGACCAGCCTAGCCAAGCTGGGAGCCAAGCCAAAACCAGCTATGTCCAGCTTAAACCAGGCTGGTCAAGCTGGCTTTTGCTGGATTTAGCTGGTCATTTTCCAACCAGACCAGCTAAGACCAGGCTGGAAATGGCTGGAAACTAGCCTGGAAATGGCCAAAACCCCTCTAAAACCAGCCTGGTTGACCAGCTAAAACCAGCCAACTAGCCTAGGCTGGTTTAAACTGGATTTTTCAGTAGGGTCAAAATATATAATAATAAATTTCAAACTAACTGAATTTAAAAACAAAAAGTCAAAACAAAATAGAAACCAACACTAATGAAAAATCCAAAACTATTATAAGCTTGGACCGTGTGAACTCAAACCTCAGCCAGATGCAGACAGAGGCTGTTGTGATAAATAGCGCTTTTCCAAATCTCCAGTGTGGATGCTGGTCCTGTTCAGCTCTAACATGTTGCAGGCACAGAGGAGCTCTACAGGAGGACGTGATATTCATGATAGATGATTCCCATTACGGTGGTTTGACACACACTCAGGAATATTATTCATATTAATCATACGCTAGAGATCTGAACAGCAACACACACGGCAAGTTTTACAATACAGGAAATAACCCGCAGCTAGCAAAAAGCTACACAGAATGGATATATTAAACCAAACCACACAGCATAAACAGATTTACAGAAATAAACGCTGTGCCTACATGCTATTTCAAGAGTACATTCTTATTTCAAACCTCACCCTCATGACCTGATTGCCTCTGTTAAAGGGTTAACACATTTACAGAGGGATAGTGGTGGATGTAGCGTTGACACCCTAGTGGTTTCCATAGTAACTGCAGTTAATCACATAATGAATTAAAGAAAAATGCATTTCAGATTGCTGTCAGAACACTGCAGCAGAGCAAAGCATAGGGAAAAAACAATAAAAGTGAGGCAGCTTTGCTATGTCAATGGTTAGATTTGGTCAGATGTTTTAATTTGTTTGTTTAATTTGATGTTTTAATTTAATACAATGTTTAATTTTTAAATGTTGCAGTAAAATAATGAGTTTTCCTATGCTTTAAGCCGCCATACTGTGTAAGTAGTGCATATCATGAAGTTAACAAATAATGAAAGAAATAAAAAATTACAATAATATTAATAATAAAAATAATTTATATCAAATTCGAGTTCAGTCGAACAAAAATGTACTTTAAAAAGGAGGCATGGCACCCAACCCCATCCCTAAACCCAACTGTCATTGGGGGATGAGCAAATCATAGTAAATTGTACCTATGTAATCATACAAATTCATTAGGGGTGTCAAAATTAATTGTTTCTTTGGTGCACCGCGATGCAGACGCGGACAATTCTGTATCGGTTCAGTAATAACCGGTTATTATGTACTGACATCATTTATCTCCTATGCGCTCTGTCGCAAGGAAAATAAGCTTGAGTATTTACAACACTCAGCCAACTCAGAGCCGGTCCGTGGCATAGGCACCATAGGCAAATGCTAAGGTCGCTGTATATCCAGGAGGGCGCCAGAAAGGAGCGCGGTTCAGTTGGTTTTGTTTTCAATATTCCTGACACACTTTCAGTTATAGACGGCAATAACTCAAAAAACTCTTACCCTAAAAAGATCTAAAGTGTGTTTCCTACAGAAAGACAAAGCTGGTTATGTTTCACAGCTGTCTTTCTTTTTTTCGCTCGACATTACGAGCACTGCTCCGTTTAAGCCCTCGCAATATGTGTTAAGCCGGGAGAGCTCGCGCTGAGAGGAGCTATCAGTAAGGGACCGTCGGAAAAGTTCTTATTTTTTCCGTTTTTTCTAGTTTTTCTGCTCCGTAAGCTTGAGCTCTCCCTGTTGCGAGGGCTTAAGTGTGTGTGTGTGTGTGTGTGTGTGTGTGTGTGTGTGTGTTTGTTTGTTTGGTGCTGACTGTTTGTGAATGTGTTTAAATGAGAGACAGTGTGGCGCTGTGTGTCTGTGTGTTTATACAGACAGCTTGTTATAGCCTCCCCCCTAAAATACAATACTGTAAATGGAACGCATCGTCACTTGAACCGAATCGAAAGCATGATAATCGTAACCGAACCGAACCGTGAGACCAGTATAGGTTCACACTTCTAAAATTCATACAAATTAGCCACTAAATAAAAAAAAAAAAATATATATATATATATAATAATGATTGCCGTGAGATAGTGTCGGTTATGACATGTCCTTGTTCCTTCTTCCTTCTTTAAATCAGGCAGACAGAGCGGGAAAGCGTGCAGGAGAGATCATGTGTGTGCATGTAAATGACATAGGTCCAGACAGAATATAGAAGAACACCATTCCACTTGCCAGTTCATTAATACACACTTTCACTTTAAGATTTGATAGAATAAAAAAAAATAAAGAGAAATGATAAATACACCTAATAGTTAATAGGAATAAATCAAAAACAAAAAGAGTACTTCAATAACTTTTGTAGCATTAAGTATTCATCTATATTTTATACTTTAGTTACATTTCTTTATAGTTCATCATTCATTCATTTTCTTGTCGGTTTAGTCCCTTTATCAATCTGGGGTCGCCACAGCGGAATGAACTGCCAACTTATCCAGCAAGTTTTTATGCAGCGGATGCCCTTCCAGCCGCAACCCATCTCTGGGAAACATCCACACACACATTCACACACACACTCATACACTACGGACAATTTAGCCTACCCAATTCACCTGTACTGCATGTCTTTGGACTGTGGGGGAAACCGGAGCACCCGGAGGAAACCGCAAAGGCAGGAAAAACATGCAAACTCCACAAAGAAACGCCAACTGAGCCGAAGTTCGAACCAGCGACCTTCTTGCTGTGAGGCGACAGCACTACCTACTGCGCCACTGCCTCGCCCTTTATAGTTCATTCTTGCTAAATTCATGCTATTAGTTATACTGTCAAATATCTGTGTGTTATATTAGAAAGCAACCTCATTTTTGAAAATCATATCTCCTGTCACAAAAACAGCCTTCTTTTATCTTAAAAATACCGTTGAGCTAAGAAACATACTATTTATCTCCAATGCTGAAAAGTTAGCTTATGTTTTATGACCTCTAGATTGGATTACCATAATGTCATTTATTACTATAGGTTCATGTGACAATTTAAATATTTGTCATTTTAAAGGGTAATGTTTCTTAACATTGATAACTCTCAAGTATACTGAAATGTTGAATGGCTATAGTCAAGTATTATAGTGATTACTATAAAAACAAAACTAACTAACAAAAATACATTGGATGGGTCAAAATTATAGACACTTTTTTTCCCCACCAAATATCATTAGAATGTTAAGTAAAGATCATGTTCCATGGATATTTTTCCAACTGTAAATTTTTATTGATTTTCTTGTGGTTCCTTTATTTATCAGGGGTCGCCACAGCGAAATAAGCCACCCAATTGTAAATATATCAAACGGTATTTTTAATTAGTAATGTGTAATTTATATAGACAGCTTCAAATCCCTTAAATCTTTAAAGATTCCAGATATTCAAATAGTTGTATCTCTGCCTACTATTGTCTAATAACAATAACATACATGTTAATCATTGTTAATAACAAATCATACATGTACATCAGTGTTAAGCCTGTTTTTTATTGAGCTTTTTTTCAATTTTGAAATAAATTGACACTTACAGTATGACCAATGTTGTGGTTCACACACACACACACTGTCCTTTGACTTTGCTCTCTGTCAAAACCACTTTCAGCTACACTCACCTCACAATGTTCTCAAGTGTGTGTGTGGAGGCAGAGGAGTTTGAGACTGAAATGAAGTGTTTCTGGAGTGCTGCTGAATCAAGGCTCATGTGGTGACCTCCTTCAGCAGGACACTCCACAAACCCTCCAAAATCACTGGGAAACATTGTAAAAGTTTGGCCTGCAAGAGAACCTTCTGTTAGTCTATGCTCACATGATGTAATGCGTTTTAGTCTTAACACACACATACATACACAGCTGTGCGGTGGAATGTGCTGTGTATAAACACTACTGCAGCACTTTTGAACTAAACAAGGAAATTCCACAGTTAACAGATCAG